AGACTGGATCACATACCTCGGTTTGGACTTCACCCAACTTGATGGCCATATTGGCTCTGGCCTTCTTCGAGTAGGGACATTCCCTTGAAAAGTGTCCCGCTTCACCGCAGTTGTAGCATACGTTGTTTCCCACGCTGCTATATGACTTGACCTTCTTATCCGTGGGTTTGTCTTTTTTCGCTTGACTTCCCCACGTACTCGCTCGCTGACCACCGGATTTGCCTTTCCGGAACCCCGAGGACTCATTCTTAGAGAAACTCTTGAATTTTCCCCTGCTATACGTTCCCCTTGGTTTGGCCCCTTTGCTAAATGTGGCTCCCAACCCCGTCGTGTTCCCTTTTCACAAATTATCGTTGAAGTGCACCTTGATGGCCGCATCCAACGCTTCCTTGTAGTTGGTCGGGTTCCAGCGCATCACCTCACCGCGAGCCCAAGTTTGCAAACCTGAAATGAAGGCATGGAACGCATCCATATCCCCCATGTCCGTGACAAGTATCCTCTTTGCCATGAACCCATTCACATATTCCTGGATGGTTCCAGTCTGCTTTAGCCTACTCAGCTCATCTCTCAGATGCAGAGTGGCATTCAGAGGAACGTATGTTGCGTGGATCCTCGCCTTCATCATGTCCCAAGTGGCCACTGGTCCTTCGTTGGCCTCCGTCGTTCTCCACCAAGACTTGGCATTATCTGCCAAGTATGGTTTTGCACATTGGACCTTCTCCGAGCTCGGTAATCGCAACGCTCGGAAGTAGTCCTCCATATCGTAAAACCAATCCTCCACCACCTTATAGTCATTCACTCCCTTGAAGACCGGTGGGGGCTTTGGTTTGTACTTGGGAACTGCCTGAGGGATTGATTCTACTTTGGTCTGTTCGACCTTGTTTGGTTCTGCCTCAGTCCCTACCGAAGGGTCCGCACCTTCTGCACTGCCAGCATCCGCAATCTTTCTCTTTTTCTTCCGCTTCTCGTCATGCTTTAGCTTGCATACGAGAGTCTCCAGTAGGGCATTGGTCTGTGCCAACTGTCCTTTTAGCATGTCCAATCGAGCCTTGGATGACCGAACCTCACCACCGGACTCCTGTTTAGAAGTTTCCTCACTAAAGTCTTCCTTATGCAAGGATTCCTCATCCATAGCCTCTTGTTCGACCGGAGGCTCCAACTCTGGCGGAGGTTCTGTCTCCGCCTGGGTTCGCTTACGCCCTACCCTTGCCATCTCCCAGCAATCCGCCTCTATCCTTTGCTAGAACTGAGGAAAAGGCTCCGATACCAAATTGTCAGCCACAAATTTTTCCTTTCCAATTTGCCAGCTTAACTCGTCTATCCGTCCGACACTGCCTTGGCTTTTGCTAAGTTCCCTCACCAAGGTTCTCGCCTATGGTACTAACTCCTACTTGGTCCTACTTGGTTTCAACTACTCACTGCACGAGCAACAGAGTGTTAGCCATCCATTCACGGATTCCCAATCTCTCTCAATCCCCCTCCCCAGGTTAGACTGGACTTAAGGTTCGGCTACACTCCCCGCAAGCACAAGCAGCCAAGCACACCAAGCTTCCAGGTTCCTAACATCCCTTGGTACCATAAGACTTGATCATGGGACCCTCTAAATCCCAAGTCTTGAGTGCAACACTAGCTTCGGGACGCCGGGGCGAAACACCGTGGCCTAGCGGCCCGGTATGGGTACCTCTACCCCCCCACTTCCATCCCGAAGGAAGGCCCAAGCCCCTAGGAAGGGCGAGGACCAATGAGCCACATGGTACTCAAGTGGGGCACCACTCCACATGAGCCGAAAGCACCGAAATCAGTTTCCCTTTCAGGAGTGGGAGCTACTCTTGAGCACTTCCTTGGATGGCCCCTCCGGCACCAACCAAGTCCATACTCACTCCCACCCAAGGCCCCTCGGTCCTAGTCTCAACCTCAAGTCGGTTTGGAAGCCCCACTGGAGAGTCCCTTCAAAACTGGTTCTTGGACCTCACTATCCTTACTATACTTTTGGAACCCCCTGCAGCCCCCCCCCCCCCTGGGAGACGCACGCTTTGGGCTTTCACCCCTTGACCCGTATTAGTATTTGGACTTAGTCTCTGGCTCGATCTCGGACTTGATTTCGGATCCGACTTTGGATTCGGTCTCGGACTCGATCTCGACCTCGATCTCGGACCCGATCTCAGACCCGACCTCGGACTCGACCTCGGACTCGGTCTCGAACCCGATTTCGGATCTCGGACTCGGTCTCGAACTCGGTCTCGAACTCGTTCCCCGAGTCGGCCTCGGACTCGATTTCGGACTCTATCTCGAACTCGGTCTCCGAGTTGGTCTTGGACTCGATCTTTGACTTGGTCCCATCCGATGAACTCTTTGTCATTTTAGTCATGCTTTCGGGGTTTTTTTAGCCTACGACACCTCAGCGAGTTGGTTCCTTACACTAAAGTGGGGGTATTCATATACACCAAACAAGCCTTACTATTGTTGAGTTGCAAAAGACTTTTGGAGCTAACTAGATTTTCCAAGATTATTCTCTATCAATAATATATACTTATTATACTTTATATAATTAATAAAAATTATTTTTTCATTTCATTTTTTATTTCATATACTTGCACATGTTCTTTTTGCAATACTACCCATAGTACTCATGTGTCTCCATTTTTGTCTTTTACCATTTCAAAAATTATTTCATGATAGTCTTTCGGGTATGTGATATTGCAGCGTGTCATGAGAGCATATATACCATTATATTGATCATCACCATCATTTCCATTTGAAGCTAAGAAACATATAATACATTCTTTGAAAGTCACAGAATTATAGTTTTCTAAAACAAGTAGGAGATCATTCTTTTTCACTTAATTATTTCACCCTTTGTTATTGTATTTATCTTTAACTCATAATCATTATCTTTACTATCCTCTCTTTCTTTCTCTTGTATGGTTTAGTTGTGTTATACAATGGGATGAGTATTACAGCTTTTAGCCCTTGAATTACTACTTTGAGAAGAAAGATTGCAAGAGTTAAAATTACCAACATTAAAACCCATAAACATTTATGTGTGCTTCCCTCTTTTCGAATAACAGTGCAAATGAAGATCTATAAATTCTAGACAATATAGTATAACTAACCCTTCAAAAAAGTATTTTAAAGATGAACTAAATCTCTATTTTATATGTAACAAATGTACATAAATGGTTGTTTTTTTTCCTTTCAAATAGTTATATAGCTTTACATAGAATTTTATTTCAAAATTGATAATTTTTAAATTCTGACAAACCTAACATTTATTAGCTAGAAAGGAGAATACAGATTTAAGGAAATGACAAGAATACTTTTCTAAAAACATCTTATTTTCTGTTTTAACAAACATCCCTATTATGGCATATAATTAATATTTAAATTGTTAGAACAAGAAGTCTATATAATATGTAGAGAGTTGTAAAATTATTAGGTTTATTAAATTATAATTGAAAATTTAACTCAACTCACAAGCTCAACTCTTCAGCTTAGTTCACACTCTTGATAGAAATGATACAATTGCTAGAAGGAATTATCATAATCATCAACATGTCTAAATGCATATTTAAAGATGTTTAAGAGAAGGCTCCAACCTGCATGAGTGCCTACATTCAAACCATTATACCATTACAATATCATCCTTTTAAGATATATGGGAAACTTGTGTAAATATTGGGCATCATACCAAGAATGATAGATAGCAATCACTATGACTTATCATCCTTAGAATTGGTTTGATGATTGATATTTAAGATTTCCTTAGCCAACTAACAGAGTTAGATCTAAAACTTCTTTAATATCAAATGTAAGTTCTTAAATTTAGACTTTCTAAAAGGTCATTAACTATTATTCAAACCCAAAAATATTTTATTTTAAGTACCCCAAAACCCTTAATTAATTGAAAAGAGGGGTCCACTCTTATTCATATACCCTCTATATTTAAACTTTTATGAATCATTTCTCAAATTATTCTTTCTAGTTGTTTATAAATTAGTAATAAAAGTAGGAGGGGCTACACCATATACCATGAATATTACTATCAATTGAGTTTAATTATTTAATTACATCCATATAACATTAAACAATTACATTAATTGTTACTCTAGATTCAAAGGATGAGAAAGTTGTTACTCATTTATTAATGTGAATGTATGAAATACAGAAAACACGTATATTTGATTAGTCCAAAAATCCCACTATGCATCATTGTTATACATTTGGCCCTCATATTATGAATTTTTTAAGATTTAAATTTTAAATAATAGCATTCTACTAATACACTATTATTCACATGGACTTGTATGTGTAGCACATTTAGATATAGGATTTAGGTATTTAGAAGTATTTTTGCTATTTATTATATAATAATAAATTACAATAATTTTGTAATGTAAGAGTAGTATCTTCAAAATAATATTTAGTTCCACAGTAAGTATTTTGAGACTATATAGGTTTACTATCTCCAGAATATAATACTAAATTTTCATCTAATTGTAATCTTAAAATACAACTTTTGCCTCTGCTGTTTGTGTGGACTATTTATTTATATTTTCAATATAATGTTAAATCACAATTTTCTTTTAGAGATATAATAAACAATCCTGTTTGTAAATATTGATGAGGCATATTAAAGTATCCACCCACTAAAAAAACTTAAATAAACAAAACAAATATATAAATAATTATAAACTCCATCAGTGCTATGATACCATCATTGCTTATTGCAAGGGGTCAGCATATGTTTGGTACTTTGCTACTGGTAGATGATGGCTTTTATGATTATTTAAACGTTGGTCTTAGTATTTGGGTTTATATTCAATTGAAAATAATTTTGCAAATTGTGCTGCTAATCCTAATGGAGATCTTGATAATTGGGATACTGTTAGACAAGCATTAGAAACATTGTTACAAGGATCACAGCATTATCAGAACATTCTTCAACAACATTTTGTTAGGTTCCAAACCTTTAGCAAATTTCATTTTTCTTTACAAAAAGCTTTAATAAAATGCAAATATTTCGCACTTTTTGAATTTGTCCATTACCGAAAAGTGTATCTACAGTGATGAACAAATGTTTGAGAGCAAAACATAGGAAGAAGTTATTGTCGACGACGTTGAGTCTAAGGCCCTCTCTCCAGCTCTAGTCCCCCTCTCGAAATCGTCGTGAGTTTTACAAGCTCCCAGCAAAATCCCCCACACAACTTCACTGGCTGGTGAAGGCATGTCTCTCGCGACGTCCTCGGCCTCTTTCAATCTCCCCGTTCTTCCAAGCAAATCGATCATCGCTCCAAAGTGTTCCTTCTCTGGCCTCAAACCATAGTCCTCAGCCATGGACACAAAGTATTTCACACCATCTTCCACCATTCCTGCATGGCTGCACGCTGTTAAGACGTGCAAGTAAGATCCTTCCTCTTGCTTCACACCTTCCAGATCCATCTCACGGAAAAGCTCGATCGCGCAGGCTCCCCGCGCTCCATTGACATAAGCAGCGAGCATGACGTTCCAGCAGTAAGCATCTGGCCTCGAGATCTTGTGGAAAACTCTTCTTGCTTCGTCGAGATCTCCCTGCTGAGCGTGTCCTGCAACCAAAGTCCACAACACAGACGATGGATTTGGCATCTGTTCTATCAAAGTCTTCACCTCGTTGGTTGTTCCGTGTCTGTGGTTAGCCACCACGATCGCATTCCAGGACGCTAGATCCCTCTCGGGCATTGCATCAAAGAGCTCCTCAGCTTGGACGAGATTTCCACTCTGGTCGCACACCGAGATCATGGAATTCCACGAGAGAACGTTGGTCATCGGCATTAGATCGAAGGCTTGCTTACCTTGCTGGAGATCGCCAAGCTGAGCGTAAGCTTGGACCAAAGCCGTCCACGAGATAACGTTTCTCTCCGGCATAGTATCAAACATTGACTTGGCCTGTTCGACCTCTCCATTTCGCGAGAAAGCCACCATGAGAGCCGTGGAGGAGACCACGTCTTGCTCGGGCATCTTGTCAAAGGCCTCTTTTGCTTCCAAAAGGTGGCCCTTCTGTGAGGCCGAGATCACTGCAGTGAACAAACGAGCATTGTGAGCATAGGAGGAATCAAAAACAAGTTTGGCCTGTTCGAAGTCCTCGCAGTCCGAGTGAGCCTGGCAGAGAGTCGTCCATGAGACCACATTCCACTGCGGCATTTTGTCGAAGGCACACTGTGTTTTCGCGATGTCGCCACCTTGAGCGCAGGCAGCCACCAATGAGTTCCAAGTCACCACGTTTCGCTCCGGGAGATCGCGGAAGAGGCTCTCGGCGGCAGCGAGTTCCCCATTCTGGCCTAGAACAGCAACGAGCGAGTTAAACGAAATAGCGTCATGCATTGGCATTCTCTGGAAAAAACTCACCACCTTTTCGGAGCTCACGAACTCGGCCGAGGATGAAACCACCGTCGTCCAGCTTACCACGCTTCGCTCTGGCATGCCATCAAAAAACTCTTTGCAAGACTCGAAATCGCCGGACTGGGCATTTGCAGCTAGCATGGAGTTCCAAGTCACAACGTTTCGCCGGGGGGATCTCTCAAACACCACGGCCGCTTCGTCAAGCTTCCCATTCTCTTGAAATCCTTGCACCATGGCGCTCCAGGTAATAACATCGCGAGACTCCATCTCATCAAAGAGAGACTTCGCTTCTTCCAGATGCCCCTTGTGGGTATAGGCCGAGAGGAGCGCGTTGCAAGCGATTGGATCGTGGAAGGGCATCCTGCGCGAAAGATCCCTGGCCTGATCCACGCACCTGTTGTGGCAATAGCTCGCCAGCATGATCGTCCACGAGAAGAGGTTCCTGCGCGGCATGGAATCGAAGACGCCCCGCGCGGCGTCGGCGCTGCCGCATTTGCCATACATGTCGACGAGGAGATTGCCGAGCAAGGGATCGCCGCTGAGCAGCGCGCTGGATCGGATGCGCCAGTGGAGGCGCGCGCCCTCGCCCACATCCCTCGCAGCGCTGCATTCGCGAAGAGCCCTAATCAAAACCTCCTTCTCCGGGTTCCACATACCGTACAAAGTAGTCGTTTCGACCGTACAATCTAACTACCGTACAAAGTAGTTATTTTTAACCGTACGACCTACCTGCCGTACAAAGCTTAAAGGTTGTGGACCACGTGGACCATATCCTTGTCCTTGGAAAGGAATTTCTCCACAAGGCAAGAAAAGGTTGGGTTAGCTATAAAATAGGTGTTCTTGAGGGGAGAGAAGAGAGAAAGGAAAAGCATGGATCATATGGCGATGGCGCCCATGAGCTTCTTCTGGCACATCAAATTCACGCTCCTCTTCCCCGGCTGGGTGCCCGACACTCCACTCCTCTACGCGCTCACGCTCATCTTCGCCGTGGTGTTCGCGATCGCCCACGAATGGATCGCCGCCAAGCGCTCGACCATCCTCGCCCCCTCGCCCTCGCCCAACGCCTATTCCGCGCCGGATTTGGAGAAGGGAGCCAGCAGCGACGAGGATCCCGCGAGAAATCCTCCCAAGTCTATCGTGGCGATTGTGCTCGCGGTGGTGATCCACGGCGCCTATGTGATCACGAGCTACTTGCTGATGATGATGGTGATGACTTTCAACGCTGGGATCTTCATCGCGGTCATGGTAGGATTGTGTATCGGATTCCTTTTCTTCAAGCTTCTGCCAAATCGACCGAGGATTTCTTCCACCGCGCCCGGATCCTCTGTTTAGAGGGAACGCTGTTATATTTGTAAAGCTCCTATCATCAATCAATGGTTGCTTTGATTTATCCTGGCCGTTGGGTAAATTCCCAGAGATTCCGAATCGACGGCGCCGCGCCGCGCGGCTCCTACTGTGTATGGCGGAAAGGGAGAGGTTTTATTTTCTCGCTTTGATTTGTGGCCGAGGGCTCGGCGGCACGGCACGGCGCGGTAGAGGTGAGTGACGATTTTGCGGCACGGCCGTGGCGCGGGAATGATAATCCGTGCTCGCGCTTGCTTCTTGCTAGCATCTTGGGGCGCGATTCGAGCTGATTGAGTGGCGGATTAGGGTTTACGCGCTCGGGGAGCCCGGATTTCGTCCACTCGCAGGTAGAGCTCTCCCTCTAAGGATCCGAGGAATCACACCATTTTCTTGCTTTGGCAGTGATCGCTCCCAAAGAGCTACTCAGGTAAGCGGTTGGTTACTTTAACTGGGAGTTTTGGTGTTGATACGTGTGTTTTCTCTCGTTTTGGTTCTCTTATTAGTGTCATGTCTCGTCACGCTGACTCGGATGATTCGTCCAACGAGGGCAGTGGGACTGACTCGGAGGAGGACCAGAAGCCCGACGAGATGTCGTCCCGCTCGGAGGGTTCGTCCGAGTCCGACTCTGGGGACGAGACCGAGGAGACCGAATCGCGGTACATGGTCCAGAAGAATGATCCTGGCGACAAGAGAACTCGCGAGGATCTAGCCGCTGTGGAGCCGGCGGCCAAGAAGTTGAAAACTCTGGGAGGAGGAGGAGTGAGGCCGACTATACCCACGAAGTCTGACTCCCAGATTAAAACTCTGCCGGCGAACAGGACCGTGGCGACTGCGAAGACTCCTCCCGTCAAGAAGCCTGTGGATCCACTGCCGAAGAAGCCGGGAGAAGCGCAGGCCAAGAAGAAAGAGCCAGAGAAGGAGCCAACGCCGAAAAAGACTCCACAGAATTGGTCGAGCGAGGACGAGATCGAGCTCATCTCCCGGATCTTGAGCGACATGAAGACGGGGATCCGGCCACCCAAACGAGGCTCCCGGGGTGACAACTATCACTACTGGGGTGATCTTCTCGAGGCTTGCCGGAGTAAGTTCATCACGGACTGGTCCAAGGAGCAGCTCTACGACAAGTACAGGCGGATAAAGATGCGGTACGACGAGATGGTTAAGAAGGAGAGGAGCGAGGGGATTACTGCTTTGAAGTTCAAGAATCCGGGAGAAGAGAAGGTGTACAAGCTCTGGAAGGAGATATACGACATGCAGGAGCAGGAGGAGTCAGAGCCACCATCGGCTGTGAAGCCAGACGCGAACAAGAAGACGAGAACTCCGCCACCTCTCAAGAGCAGCGAAGATGACACCAAGAAAGACGTTGCGTCCACGTCCAAGAAGCCGAAGCCTCCTGCTGCTGCTGCAAGGCAAGAGCCAAAGCAGAACGGGAGCGTCAGCGAGCAACGACAGCAGCAGCAGCAGCCGCAGAGCCCGCCGCCGCCCCAAGCCGAGAGGAATCTCACGGTGGCGGCTATGAACGAGCTGCAAAAGAAGAGCAACGCGGCTCTCTCGGAGATGCAAGGCAAGATCGACGAGATCATGAACGACTTCCATGCGAGGAGCCAGGGGATGGTCCAGGAGGCAGTGAAAGGTGCCGGGGGGAAAGCGGAGTGGCTTAACGAGTGGCTGACTTTCTCCATGGCCCGGGGCAGCGCCACTCCCTTTTTTGGCATGGAGATGCTGGGAGGCATTGGAACGGGATGGATTGGAGGCCCGTGGGATGGATCGAGCCCGACTGCCATGAAACTCAAGGAACACTGGCTCAAGCAACAGGAGGACGAGCTTAGAGTGATGGAGCAGCGAGTTCGGCTGTTGCAGGATCTATGCCGCCACCAGCAGGAGCTGCTCAAGGCACGGGGTCACTAGATTTCGCGCGAGAAAAAATTCGTGGAGCAAAGACAAGAAGAAAGAGGTAACACAGATTCTGTTATATTTATTTTTCCTTCTTTCGTAGCCTTAGGAAGCACAGGCATGGTGTGTGATTCTTTGTTTTTTTTTTCTTCCTTTTAATGTTGTTTCAAGCATGTTTCAGTTTCGTAGATGGTCTCTAGCGTCGTGCCGAGGAGCAAGCTGATCGAGAGTATTCGGTCGTGCAAGGAGGGCGTGGAAGCCAAGAAGCTCCACGACCAGGTTCTCGCCAGTGGCTTCTCCCAGGTTCGCTTCTTTGGGAACCTCTTGATTCACATGTACGGCAGGCTGGGAGAACTCGTCCAGGCACGTTCGATCTTCGACAGCATCCGTGATCCCTGTGTCTACTCTTGGGGGAGTATAACTTCGGCTTACATTTCCAATGGCCAGCTCCAGGAGGCCAGGAAGATCTTCGCCAGAGCACCGCTCAAGAACTTGGTCAGCTGGACGAGCATGGTCCAGGGGAATGCCAGGCACGGAGACATGGAGGAGGCCAAGAGGCTGTTCGAGAGGATGCCCGAGTGGGATATCGTGCTGTGGGGGGTGATGTTGGCGGGGTATGCCCAGAGAGGGTATATGGACCAGGCGGAGTTTTTCTTCGAAGAGATGCCGGAGAGGAACTCGGTGGCTTGGAACATCATGGTGGCTGGCTACGCGCAGAATGATCTCCTGGAGAAGGCCAAGGCTCTCTTCGATCGGATGCCCGAGTGGGACGTTGTCTCGTGCTCGACGATGCTCCAGGTGTTTGCCGAGAATGGCCAGTTTGTGGAGGCCAAGAGGACGTTTGATAGCTCACCCGAGAGGAACGTTTTCTCCTGGACGGAGATGCTGGGGGCTCTCGCAAACCAGGGGAAAGTTGACGAGGCCCAGGAGGTTTTCGACCGGATGCCGCAGTGGAACGTTGTGACGCTCAACTCGATGCTGGCAGCGAATGCGCAGAATGGGTATCTGGATCAGGCCAAGGCTATGTTCGATCGGATGCAAGAGAGGACAGCCGTCTCGTGGAACTCGATGATCACGGCTTATGGTCAGAACGGCTGCATCGACATGGCTCGAGAGACTTTCGACAATCTCCCAGGCAGGAACGACGCGTCATGGTCAGGCTTGATCGCGGCTTTCGCGCAGAACGGGCTTCTGGACGAAGCCAACCGGGTTTTCGAGAGGATGCCGCAGTGGACTTCCATCGCCTGGAACGCGATCGCGGCAGGGACTGCGCAAAACGGCAGGGTGGAAGCGGCGATGGATCTCTTTGGCAAGATGGCCGGGAAGAACTCGGTGTCGTGGAACTCGATGATCGCGGGGAACGCTCACAATGGGCAGCTCGAGCAGGCAAAGTCGATGTTCGACAAGATGCCGCAGCGAACGATGCTCTCGTGGAACTCCATGGTGGCGGGGTTTGCTCACTTTGGACAGGGACGAGAGGCGCTAGAGCTCTTCCACGCCATGGCCTTGGAAGGGATCAAACAGGACGAGATCGCCTTCGTTAACGTTCTCGTCGCGTGTAGTCGGATTGGGTGTGTGGATCGAGGGTGGCAGTACTTCGAGTCGATCACCCGCGACCACGGGTTGAATCTCACGGCCGATCACTGCGGTTGCATGGTGGACGTGCTTGCGAGGGCCGGGAAGCTGGAGGACGCCGAGGAGATGCTGGGCAAGATGCCGCGGACGAGGAGCGAGGGGGCGTGGGGGAGCTTGCTGGGAGCTTGTCGGACGCACTGGGATCTAAGCACTGCGTCGCGGGCAGCGCAGGAGTTTGCGTGGTTGAAACCCGAGAGAGCTTTCTCGTATATCATGCTCGCAAATGTTTGCTCTTCGGAATCAAAAGGTGGCAGAGGTTTCGCTTAATGTACTATTATCTTAGCACTGCTTGATTGAATGATCACAAAAGTATTTCTAGGATCATGACTTTGAATAAAGCTTTTTGACTTTATGATTCATATGTGTGACTTGTTTCTTTCCACTTAGTAAAGTTTCAAAGCCTTTTACCATTATAAATATAAACTTTATTTAAATTAGCATCTGTTATTATAAAATATACACCTTTAGACAAGGGTATATGCATGTTTAGGCAGACGCATAGTGGCCACGGCCTCTAGAGGGGTTTTAAGCTGACAAGCTCCAGTGGGAGTTTCTTCCATGGATGGCACTGTCCCTGGAACGTAGCTCCAGTCAAAACCATGCACAAGGTTTGCCACTAGAAAGTGTACTGTTCTCAATCCCAGTGGCATCCCAGGGCACTTCCGACGTCCACAGCCAAACGGGAGGAGATTAAAATCCTGGACGCCTTTAACGTCAGTAGAGCCCACGAAGCGCTCTGGGAGAAACTCGGTGGGGTTCTCCCACACGCTGGGATCCATTCCCAGAGCCCATGCATGTAGGAGTAGCGTTGTTCCTTTGGGGATATCGTAGCCTCCAATCTTGGTGTCTTGGCTCGCAATGCGGGGGCTCAAGAGTATACCGGCAGGATATCGGCGGAACGTTTCCTTGATGATCATTTGGAAATACTCGAGCTTTGGAAGATCGGACTCTTGGACCATCCTAGAGTCTCCCACAACTTGTTGGAGCTCCTCTTGAGCCTTTCTCATGACTCGGGGATTCTCCATCATCGCAGCCAGCATCCACTCGCATATAATTCTCGTCGCATCAGTTCCAGCAGAGATCATCTCCTATATTGATTAAACTTCAGTACTTCAGCATAAAGAGATTCTATTTACTTACAATCAGATTTGCTTTCACTTGAGTTTCCTTCTCTGGTCCGTAAAACTGGAGCATAATATCGAGGAAATCCTTGTTCTCTCGTGTGCTATGCTTGTGCTCCTCAACAATTTTCTGTATAAATCTGTCTTGACTGGCATGAACTTGCTTGTAGTAAGGAAGCTCCCAATCCATCCATCTTAAATACCAAGGAACAAAATTACTGAAAGAGGGCTTGAATATGAAATCCAGTACTTGCATAGCCACCTCCTTGAATTCTACAGTTTCTGGATCCATTGGACCATTGTGATATTCAAAATATCTCTTACTTATCAGATTCTGGGTTATAGTGTTGAATATAAACGTGGATATGATACTCCTCACATTTACACTATCAGATTTAAGTACAAGTGCATCAAGTAGACTAGCGAGTTCCTTGCTTCTCATCCAGGAAAATGAATCAATAGCCTTAGTAGTCAATAATTCCATTGTACACAGCTTCCGGGAATTTTTATAATCTTCGCCATATGGACAAGTTCCTAATCCCATAAAATTGTAGCCAATGTATTCACCCGCAACTAAGTAAGGCTTTGAAGAGAAATTATTATCTTGTGTAGTGAATAACTCTCTCATCAAACTTGAGCTTGAAATGAGAGCAGTAGGAACCATCCCAAACCTTAAGGACACAATGGGCCCATATTTGTCAGAGAGTGCTTGAAACACTTTGTGCTGGGGTTTCCCTCCAGTAAATAAGTGAAGATGGCCAATCAGAGGAAATCCCCATGGGCCCGGTGGAAGATTCAAACGAAATTTAGCACTAGAGTTCCATAAAAATAATAGAATTAAGAGGCAGCCAGCAGTAATAGTGACAAGATCCATTTTTAATTTTGAAAGGCATGGAGACCTCCTTTTAAGCTTGAATAAAAAGCAATGTCACCTACTCCTCAAGGAAATATAAGATGTTAGTTGACAATTTGTATCTATGTAGATAAGGTACTAGAAGCATGCCATAAGTCACACCTACTAGTCAAAACATTTAAATCTCTTAGTCACCTAATACCGAGTGTTTTGCCTATAAATCTTTATAGATGGCAAAAATGCCTAGATGTGGAGGAAATCTCATTTAGTGACAAAGAATTTGATTATAGCTAAGTAAAACTATTTAGGGAGTTTGTGCTTTCTCCCTATGACAAGTTTTTGCTTAATGCTTTTGGGTTACTTGCCTATGCAAAGTTGTTTAAAGGAGAAATATTAATTGAGCAAGAGATCAAGCTCATGCAAAAATAATACCCAATAAAGCATGCATTTATCTTTTGTAGGCAAATCCATCCTTTTGGATTCACCTAGTTTACTCAAATTTTTTGCGTAAACAACAAGGGCAAAATAATCATGACGAGCAAGAAGGATTGCATGCTTGATTAATACGTCCTTCTTGATTACACATCCAGATGAGGAAGTAACTTCACTTATTTGAAACCCAACTATCATATTAGGCTTAAGGTGTTATGTGCCATCATCAATGGGAGGACGGTTACACAAAATGCTAGTATTAAAATAGCTCATGTATTGGAAGCTATTGAGATTGGATAGTAAATAAACATAACTCATTTCATTTACAATAAATTTGTGGCCCAAATGAAAAATGTTGCCTTACAAGTAGGCAAGGGAAGGCAAGTGAAGATAGGAGTTTTCATCTTTTTATGGCACATTTATGAACATTACACTGCTTAGGAGAATCTTATGCCTCACCTTACCATTGAGCAACCACCTTTAGTATCTCTTCTGGTCGAGATAGCAAAGGATGTGGATGTGGAGAAAAATCCCAATAATATGGATTCAAGAGAGGAAAATTCTCCCCTCAGAAAAAAACTTGTTTAAATCCAAAAATCCACCTTCAGAGTTTGTTCTGCAAAAATTTAGTAGCTGAGTATGCCATATTAAAGCTAAACATAACAATTATAGTGATAAAACGCTACACCTAGATCAGAAACAAAGTTGTGACTTGTCTATATCTACAAAGACAACCCCAATGCCAATACAAATCTCTCCAAGCATCGGGGAAGTGATAAGTACATAAATGGACAATACTAAGCAAACAATAGATGCCAAAGTTGTGAAAGAAATTCCACAACTTAGGCCATAAAGTCTAACATACAATATGCCTATAGATGTCATAAAACCATTGCCTATAAACACAACTAATGAGGTGAGTTTATGCCAAGAAGATCATGGCTAAGAAACTCAATGGGATGAAGAAAATGAAGTTACAAAAGAGGATCTAGATGAATTGGAGGAATATAGGCTAAGTCTTCTCTAGTTCACCTACACATCCAATAGTGACACACCCTTGGCTGATCAGTCTAGCGAGATGAGGCAGCTGTAGCAGTAGCAGATGCTGCAGCAACACTACAAGGTCAAGGCTAGTCACGTCTTTGCTCACAAGATCACAAGTCAGTCAAGTGAGTTAGTAGTTCAAAGCTTTATGAAAGAGCTCGCTCAACATATCAAGGGAGGAGGCAAGTAGCTAGTTGACAAGCCAATACAACCCTTAAAAGATGAAGAAACAGCAAAATACCACATGTAGGTCTTGAGCTACCTCAAGACAATCACCAAAAAAGTGGATGGAGTCATAAACGAATAGAATTATTAATGCCACATAATCCAAGAACTCAAGACTGCAATCCTGGCTTCCACATCCACATCCACTGATGTAGAGTGCATTAGCCGCCAGGATAAATGCATCATAATGCTCAACTAAGAAAATTAGATTATATGTCAGAAACTTGACAATCTACGCCAAAGCGTTGAGCTTATTACTATGAAGACCAAGCTCAGTAACCTGGAGCAAGATTTGGAGAATCCAACTGCATGAGGACAGACAATATCTTTGTCATAGGGAATAATGAAGAGGTAAATGTTTTATCTTGTATATCATCCCAGGTAGAGCAAAAGAAAAAAGCTTAGATGAAATTTAGTTACATCTAAGCTTAAAAAAGATTTAACCACTTGTCATAAATAAACGTGAAGTAGTTAGGAATAATTATAAAATCATGTAATATATAAGTAGCACTTAGATGTGCTAGAAAATAACCCCCACTCACTGTTGTATGCATTTGTATTGAATTAACCATTTTTTCTCCTGCTTATGATTATTTGTGCAAAGTAGGGTTAAGAGATATATATTTATCCTTACTTACACTTTTAAGGTTTGAAACTGAGTTCTCTTTTATTCTCTTCTCATTCTTTTTTTCTTTCCTATGTTTTTATCTCTATTTGTTTATCACTATTTTGCAACCAGAGGCAAGAACATAAGTACAAGAAAAAAAAGCCTTACTCAGAATAATAGAAAACTTCTTTTTATAATAATGAATTGAGAAAATAAACACTAAATGAACTGGTGTTAAATAAACCTCTTGATGGTATTCTTGAAAGAAGGATAGAGGGGTCATTGACTTATTTATGCAAAAACTTTCCACTACTCGCAAAAATTTGCTTTTTCTAGAAGAATCTTTATGTCAAGACCTTCCATTATAATAGCACCAATAGGATGGCGTTGATGCCAACACCTCCATCTAGGAAATGGAGGATGCTAATCTACAAAACACCAATAATGCTAATATGTGTAGCCAATCTTATCATACACTCAATAATAGATATCACAACCATGACTCTGTCCTTTCCTTTGTCCTTAAATACGGGTAATGACAACATCAACCTTCATTGGAACAAGATCATTTCCCACAGAAAGTGAAACTAAAGTACATGCAATAATAAGTGGGAGAGATGATGTATCATAGTGTTATACCAGTTGAAAAACATTATCAACAATTGCTAAAGCAAGTGCATGCATAAGTTTTACAAAATTTTGACAAAGCATTAGCCACAACATTCCTAACTTGATCTGCTCTGATATATTTAGCTCTACATGAAAAAAAAAAGATTTAGAAGTAAATACTAAATTGCATAACTAACTTAGACGACCTCTGATAGAGATAATGCAATCACTGAAAGGCATCATCATAATCATTAGCATGTCCAAATGTGTATTTAAAAACATCTGGGAGGAGACTCTAATTCACATGAGTGGTTGCACTTAAACTATTATATAATACCGTTCCTTGGAAATATGTGGAAAACTTGTGTAAATGCCAAGCATTATCTCATGAATAATAGTTGGTAATCACCATAAAATGATTGAACTAATAGTACATATTATCCCTAGAAATCTTATAAAGGAACTCTGGCCAGATGTCGGAGTTGGCAACAAGAGCATAAGTTGCACTATGCATGCAACTATCAACTGAGTTTAATTGTTCAATTACAACCTTATAACATTAAATAATTATACCAATTGTTATTCCATAGTTAAAGAAAGAGAAGGTAGTTACTCTCTATGAAGATGAATAAAAAGAAGATGAAAATTTGCAAAAGCTACAAAAATAAGAGAAATTTAGATGATACAAAAGCTAGATCTAAATAAAAATGCATAAATTTAAGCATTTAGGGATAGTTGAAGATGTCACTCATTTCCACCAATGTAATTGCATGGAATATAAAAATATGCATATTCAATTAGCTTAAAAACCTTAATTTATATACAGGAGCAAGAGGTCCAGATTAAAACTAATCCAATGGTTACTAAAATCCCATTATGCTAAAAATAGTATACACCATTGTAGTTATATACTTGGACCTCACAATATGTTTTAAATGCTTTTGTGACCAATAAATAATATAGTATTGTAATTAGCTATAATATATAAAAATTTAAAATCCATCAAACTTTTTAAAAATTTAGTAGCTAAATTTATTGTAGCAAATCATAAATATTTTTTATTTTAATTAAACTATGGAATTATTCATGTTACTTGGTAGCCTATAAAACACTAAAGTGTCTAGCAAACTTGTATGGTAGTGAATATACCTATAATATGCTTGGATATTGCAGGATATTCTACCATTTAACAGTTGTTATTCATTGAGATTAATCTTGTACTTATAATTTATAAACATGTTTATCATTTATAAACTTTCTTAAACCCTTTTTAGTATATTCTTTTTATTCTATCATCTAATGGTTGATATGCAATAAGATTAATCTTGTGACAAACATGATTATAATTATAAACTTTATTTGATAAATTGGATTAATAAGTACCATTAAGCAAACCAAGCATTGCTATATGCAACATGTAGCAATTTTTTTAATATCACAACTTAAATCTTAAGTTAAATATGATATATTTTTGAATGTAATTATGTGTAATGAATTTGTATTGAAGCTTTGTGATTACATTATTAAATGCATTTAGTAGTAATCTGAGATTTTGCTAGACATGATGACAACTGAATTCATGATGAAAACTTTAATAAGTACCCAATACCATTATTTAACTGCTAAAATTTTAATTTAACTTAGTTTCTGATCTTAAAAAGGAATTACATGCTATGCTATATAAATAGCAGTACAGAAAAAGTAAATAGCTCTTACTTTGCTTCTTCTACAACATTAACATTGTTTTGATATCTAGAAGATCCTAGCAAACACCTCCAATCTGTAATATCTGGAGTGTAGGGCATATTCTTCACAAGCTCCTCTGCTTCTACTAAATGCCCAGCCCTACCAAGCAAATCTGTCATGCACGAGTAAATCTGTCTATTTGGTTTTACATCCTGATCATTAATCATGTATACAAAGCATTTTACACCAACTAAGACACTTCCGGAGTGGCTACAAGCAATGAGAATTGAAATAAAAGAGCTCTCAGTTAATCTAGTGCCTTCCAAATCCATAGACTTAGCCAAAGTCAAGCTTTTATGCAAATACCCAGCTTGAGCATATATAGCAAGCATGGCATTCCAAGAAATACCATCTTGTTCTGGCATTGTATCTAAGGTCTTCCTGGCTTTTTTGAGTAGTCCTCTTTGGCCAAATGCTGTGAGCATGCTTGTCCATGAAAGCATATCATGCTCCTCCATTGAGTCAAACACAAGTTTTGCTTCTTCAAGGAATCCATGTTGGGAATAGGCAGCTAGAATTGAATTCCAAGTGATCAAGTTTTTCTCAGGCATGTTCTCAAATAAACACTTTGCTTCATCCATATGCCCTCTTTGAGCATAAGCTGTGATCAGAGCTGTCCATGACACTACATCATGCACCGGCATCATCTCAAACAAGATCTTTGCATTCTCAATTTTATCCTGTTTGACATAAGCAGCCATCATTCCATTCCAGCTTACAGTGTTCCTATCTTCCATCCCCTCAAATAATTTATTAGCATCTTCAACATGCCCATTTTGGGCATATGCTGTAAGCATTGCATTCCAAGATATGACATTCTTTTCTTCCATGCTATAAAAAATACTCTTAGATTTTTCCAAATCACCTTTTTGAGCATAAGCCGAGAGGAGAATATTACAAGATACAGAATCATGGCGTGGCATCCTGGAAAACATTTCTTCTGCTGATGGAAGATGCCCGTTATAAGTATATGCCACTAGCATGGCATTCCACGTCACTATATTCCTCTCAGGCATATCATAGAAAAGATTTTGGGCTTCTGTCAAAAGGCCTTTGTGGGCATAAAGAAAGAGCATTGAGTTTAATGTGACAATGTCATGGACTGGCTGCTTGTGGAACAATCTTATAGACTCCCGAAGATGCCCTCTCTGAGAATATCCTGACAGCATTGCGTTCCATGCAACTAGATTCCTCAGTGGCATGGAATCAAACAAGGCTTGAGCTTCAGGAAGAAGCTCGGCTTGGGAATATGCCACCAACATGGTTGTGCTTGAAACCATACTATGCTCTGGCATCATAAGATAAATCAGCTTTGCACTCTCCAGATGCCCGTTTTGCGCATATGCTGCAAGCATGGTGTTCCAAGTTATAAGATTTCTATTTTGCATGCCATCAAAAATGTTTCTAGCTTCTTCAACTTTCCCGTTTTTTGCATAGATCGTGATCATAGTTGTGAATGTAAAAATATCTCTTTCTGGGAACTTATCAAAGAGAGCCACAGCTTCGACAAGATACCCTTTCAAGGAATATGCAGCAAGCATTGCATTCAAAACAATAAGATTCCAAAGCGGCATTTGATCAAAGAGCTGTCTAGCGTAATTCAAGTTCCCAGACCGAACAAACGCGTTGATCATATGTGCATAGGAAAAAATATCTTTGTTGCTAAGGGCCAGAAAGACCGAATGAGCAAGATCAAAGCTCCCACATCGATCATACATTTGTATGATCATGTTATGGACGTGGGTACCATTGCCCATCACAAGGTCTTTGCTGAAGCTTACTTGGGCATGGATGCGTTTCGCTTGGGGTAGCGTCTTGCAAGACCGAATTATCTCAAGACTCAGTCCCCCAAGTTGTTGGCAAATGCCCAAACCGGGCATTTTGGTGGAATCTAAAAACTATCTACAAAATTGTGGTCCACGACTTCTATATCTACACCAATCATTAATATTATTGTTAATTACTATTTTAGCATATCCAGAATAAAGTTTATTGAAGTCTTCTAGCGCACGTGATGCTTGCTGTGGCGGTTGAGAGGAAATTCAAATAACTAACCATTTGTTATCTTAATTCATACTTACTTAGCATAATTATGATTAAGGGAAAAAGAGGTACTTTAGGGTTTATCATGGATACTTTACAGGGAGAGCAAAGCGAGCGTCGGTGCTAGTGGCTTTAAATGGGCGCCAGGCGTACGGCATTGTCTCTGTCGCGAGTCGCTACTTGATCCGATCGTAGGTTGCCGCCCCAGATCATCGCTTTCATCCATTGCCGCGTGCGAGCGCCGCTGTAAAATCGTTTCTTGGAGCCAGCCAGGTAACACGAGCTCCTCTCTAGATCGTCTTTCTTTCTCCAGGGTTTTGCCAGAGATTCCTGGCTCTCAGATCTCCGGTGATGCGTATTTCGGGGGATTGAATCGCTCGTCGTGTGTTCTTGCGCAGATGGCCAAAGATCTGGGTGCGTCGTCCCCGAAATATCACCAGATCGTGGACAAGAAGCGCAGCTACACGCGTTTCTTGCTCACGGCGCTATGCTGCCTCGCTTTCTACCTCATCGGTGCCTGGCAGAACAGCTCCAAGGTCCACATTGATTCCACCACCGTCTCCTACTCTACCGGATGCGGCGCGCTGGATTTCCAGGCTCACCACTCGGCATCGGCAACGGCAGCGTCGAAAATCTCTTCGTCTTCCGCCCTGGATCCCTCCACCGCTCCAGTTCCAGCCTGCGACATGGGATTCAGCGAGCACACGCCCTGCCAGGATGCCAAGCGCTCGCTCCAGTTCGATCGAGCGCGGCTGGTGTATCGAGAGAGGCACTGCCCGTCCGACAGCGAGAAGCTCCAGTGCTTGGTTCCAGCTCCGGTGGGCTACAAGAATCCTTTCTCGTGGCCCAAGAGCCGGGACTACGCATGGTTTGCCAATGTTCCTCACAAGGAACTTACGGTGGAGAAGGCCATCCAGAACTGGATCCAGTACGAGGGCGATAGGTTCTTCTTTCCAGGTGGTGGAACCATGTTTCCTCGCGGTGCCGATGCCTACATTGACGATATCAACTCCATTCTTCCGCTCACGGATGGGACCATTCGAACAGCTCTTGACACTGGCTGTGGTGTAAGTGTTCTAGTTTCTTTTTTGGTTTGATCCTCTTGTTTTGACTTTGTGTTGTTCGATCCAGGTTGCTAGCTGGGGAGCTTATCTCCTCAAGAGAGGGATACTCACAATGTCGTTTGCTCCGAGGGACACTCACGAAGGCCAAGTTCAGTTTGCGTTGGAGCGAGGAATTCCTGCGATGATCGGCATCATGGCTTCTCAGAGACTGCCTTATCCCGCGAGAGCATTCGACATGGCTCACTGTTCTCGATGTCTCATTCCTTGGACTGCTTATGGTAGGTTTTAGTTGATACTTCCTTTTCTTCCATAGATAAGATATATTACAACACCATTCCAGATGGCCTCTACTTGATCGAGGTTGACCGTGTTCTTCGTCCCGGTGGCTACTGGATCCTGTCTGGGCCTCCTGTCAACTGGAAGCTGCACTGGAAAAGCTGGCAGAGGACCAAAGAGGACCTGAGTGGGGAGATGACCGCGATCGAGAATATGGCGAAGAGCTTGTGCTGGAAAAAAATTGCAGAGAAAGGGAACCTTGCAATCTGGCAGAAACCGAAAGATCACACCGACTGCTCCAATGGTCCCGAGTTCTGTGACAAAGAGCAGGATCCTGATCTTGCCTGGTACGTAAGATTTTAAGTGTCAAGCCGCTCGTGAGAACTGCGCTTCTTTGTTTCAGGTACAAGCCTATGGAGGCATGCATTTCGAAACTCCCGGAAGCTGACCAAAGCGAAGATCTACCAAGGTGGCCCTCTCGGCTAACCACGACACCATCACGAATCTCCAGCGGCTCACTATCCAGTGAAGACAGCTTCAGCTCCGATACCCAACTCTGGTTGCAGAGAGCCTCGTACTACAAGAAGACGGTGCTACCAGTGCTTTCTTCGGGAAGGTACCGTAACATCATGGACATGAACTCCGGACTTGGAGGATTCGCGGCGGCACTTTCAATGAACAGCAAAATGTGGGTGATGAACGTAGTCCCCCACCACCACCAGCACAAAACTCTGGGAGTCGTCTACGAGCGGGGCCTCATCGGCGTGTACCACGACTGGTGCGAGGCATTCTCGACGTATCCCAGGACTTACGACTTGATCCACGCTGATAACGTCTTCAGCCTCTACAAGGACCGGTGAGTTGATTGCTCGGTTTTAACTTAATGTGTTCTAACGTGGCTGCTTGTGTTATTAGATGCGAGATGAAAGACATCCTGATCGAGATGGACAGGATCTTACGTCCCGAAGGAGCCGTGATCGTCCGGGACCAAGTCGACACTCTCAACCGAGTGAAGCGGATCATGACCAGCATCCGGTGGCAGAGCAAAATGTACGACCACGAGAGCGGGCCTTTCAACACCGAGAAGGTCCTGGTCGCAGTGAAAACTTACTGGGTAGGAAGTTCCAATTCGACTCTGTAGCCTTCGGTGAGCCTGCTCGTATTTTTGTTCTGGTTCCCTGCTGGCTTGTCAACTCATTTTTTTCTTACGTGATCTAAGAAGTTCCTTTTCCGTTTTACGTCTCCTCGGCTTCGCAAAACCTCGCCTTTCGTCGCTGCACAATCTTCACAGGTTGCTCCCTCTCCCGGATTGTGGGAAACAGGCTCCGGCACTGGATCCGGGCCCCATTCACCAGTACCCAAGTCACGAACGAGACGCTCGCGCAGAGAGACATCTTCCACAGCCACCCGGGTCCCGGCTGCCGGTTGTTTTCTACTTCCTCGTCCTTCGATCCTTTGGCCGCGGCTGCCTGTTGCTCGATCACTTTCCTTATTTCTAACTGCACCCTGTCTTCCAGGCTAGCTTTCTCTTCCTCGGACAGAGCTTCGTGACGATCCACCGAAGAAGAAGAAGAAGACTCCAACACTGTGGTGGAGTTGGAGTTGGAGTTGGAGTTTTCAGTGGCCACTGCCTGCTGCTGCTGCTTGCTCGCGAAGCTCTCGATCTGTTCCTTGGTGGTCCGTTCCCAGTTGCTGGAAGATGAGGAAGACGCTCCAGCGTGGTGAGGAGAGATCCTCTCCGGCGCCTCCGGCGATGATCGGTACGTAGTAGCTTGAGTTTGCTCCTCCTCGTCGTCTAACCGTGCGAGGCTTTTGTAGGCACTGTCGAGCCAAGCAGGCATTTCCGGAGAAAAGCTCTGCTCCATCACCTCAGCCTGGTTCATCGTCGATGAATCGAGCTGGCACCTCGTTCCACTCGAGAACATCATCCTGGGAGGAAGAAGGAGCTCTTCTTCCTCCACCGTTGGGAAAGCCATTGGAGCCTTGCCTCGCCTCTCGCCATTCTCTTCCGGAGCCTTTCCTTTCTTCCTTCGCAGCTCTCTCTCCTCGATCTTGCTCAAGACACCATCTTCTCGCCTTCCCTGTTCTTCCATCTCATCCTCTCGCCTCCCCGTTTCTACAAACTCTCCTCCTCTATCCAAAGCTCCTCCTCCATCTCCTCCACCGCCACCATCTAAACCCCGATCTTCATCCAGAAACCATTCCACCTCCTCTATGTCCGAGATAAACTTGTTCTTGCTGGCAATTGGTGACGCACAAGTGATCATATTCTTTGGACTGGGTCGATCGCTGCTACTGCTACTGTTCTTCCCGGCGCTGGAGTTCACGCCCAAGACCTGTTCCAGATTCTTGCTAGAAGTGATCTCCGGCTCCAAGAACGAGCCTTTGATGAGATACGTCCTCGGTGTCTCGGACTCCATCTCCTTTGCCGGATAGCTCTTCTCGCACTTTTCCATCTCTTTCGCTGGAAGGATTGTCTCGCACTTCGGGCTGGGCGATTGAGAAGCGCACCTGGGAGTGGTGCCGCCGCTCCGGGAGCTCTCCCTGGCGGTGGCGCATCGGGATTTGGCCTTGCCGCCCGCCGCCGCGATCAATTTCGCCGCCTCGCTCTTGCTCTTGCGGAGCTCGCTCGTCCCCAGTGAAAGGATTGGATCGTCGCTACCTGCGGTGTAGAGATTGGCGCCGGATTCCGGGTGCTTGCTCCTCATTGGATCGATCGACGAGAAGAATGTGACGCGGACGCGAACTTTCCCCTTGTTCCTAGCAAGAAACCCTAGAAGTGTGTAAGCCCTATCAACAAGCGCGCCCCTTGAACCTGGGCCATGCAAAAGTGGACGGCGCGGATGTTGCCACGCAAGCAGCTCCAACGGCTTCGTTTTTACAAACACTTTTTTACGTGTAGCCTGATTGATTTTCCGTATATAACAAACCAATCAAATGGAGCTAAATTATTTAGTTGACATGTGGCGGATGATGAACACGTAACGTATTTTCCTACTTTTCTGTGTGGGTGTCCAAACCATGTGAAATCGCTTGATGGATTTGAAAACCTCGATGTTGTGCCATCAGTCTTTATGTGGAACACAGAAACACATCCTTGCAATCTTTCTTTCCATCGCTTTGGGAACTTGGGGAAAGTTTGTCCCTAATCCCGGGTTTTGAAGATCCAGGTAATCGTGCGTTTGTATGATTTCCTAACTCAATGGTCTAGGCCTTCCCTAAATGGTTTCATAGCAATTGATGTTGTAGACAATGACTCCGATATGAGAGAGAGACACAAGAATAGAAGCGTGAGTATGTTATCACAAACCATTCAATCTCAAAACCTGTAGAAGAAAAAGGCTGGAATTTTCGTGATAAATCTTAACTGTTAGATTAGGATTTTTAGCATTCAGATGCTTAAAAACCAAAAAGTTTGCAAGTCAACAGTATTTTGAGACCACGCGGAATGACCCAGTCGCTTGATTGCGATTCATATGACCCCTAGATCGAGCACGAGCTCGAATAGAGAATCCACACTTCAATCAATGCAAACGCAGTGATCGCGCTGGTGGTCTAATCCTCAATCTCTTCCATGGGTTTGAGTGATCGTGGTAGGAATGGCAGCAATCTTCATCTTTTTCCTCTTTTAGTTCTAGTCGCAATTGGAGCTGCCGGCACTGCTCGAGCTTCCCAGTGCTACCACGTGAATCAGACCACGTCTTACAACAACGATGGCGGCTACTGGCAATATCCCCTCGACACCGACGGATTGAGCGGGCGCTACACGGGCTACTGGTCCAACACCACTGACATCGAATTGGGCGACATCACATTCCAGCTCTGGTTCCTCACTTACGACGATCACAGCTTCACGCTCTCTCTCGTCGCCATGCGCGAGCCCACCCGGAAGTGGGATCTCTACAGGCCCGTAGTGCTGTGGACCGCCAACCGGGACAGGTACTTTGGAGAGGGCGCGACGCTCGACTTTGGCGCCGATGGAGAGCTCATCGTCCGGGAGAATGGGCTTACAGTGTGGTCGACCGGCACGGCCGGGAAGGGCGTCACGGCGATGTGCATCACCAATCTGGGCAACCTCTTGCTGACAAACTCCACCGATCATATCATCTGGCAGAGCTTCGATTCTCCATCGGATACAATCTCCACGCAGGTGGCGTTCAAGCCCGGGAATCGCCTCGTCAGCTGGGCTTCCCCCAAGGATAGCAGCCAAGGATCGTACAGCCTCGCCATGGAGGAAAATCGCCTCGCCCTCTACTTCAACTCGGAGGTCTACTGGAGTTTCGAGAGTGATGGTGGGGATCCAGGAAGCAGTGACTTGTTTGCAGCAGTGTGCTGGCAGACGAATGGTCTCATGTCGCTCGATCTCCAGCGCAATGCGTCCATGCCGGAGTACCAAGGGTTTCTGTCGGCGGAGTCGTGCCAGAGCTCGGCACCCGTGAAGAGATTCGAGCTGCTTCGTAATACCCAAAACTTCACGTATGGAACCTTCCTCAAGCTCAACACCATGGGCGATCTCACCGTCTACACCTGGAACACCACGGGTGACTACTGGTACGCTGCGTTTAACCTCTCGAGCAACTTCAGCTGCTTCCTCCCTCAAGCTCAAGAGTGTGGCCCATACGGGATCTGCAACAAAGGGGACGGGCAATGCTGCCCTGGTTCTCTCAATTACCAGGGTGGTGTTTGCGGTGCTAGGAGGCCTCTGCCGCTTGATCCCAGAAGATGTGAGCCCCATGAGATTGTGCGAATGGAAGGAGTGGACTACTTCTCTACCAACTTTAGCACGGAACTGCCCGTGGTGGACGAAAGCGAGTGCCGTAGGAGATGCGAGGTCAATTGCTCGTGTATGGCTGCGTTTTTCAAGGAGAAGTCGTGTTTCCAGACGCACGAGCCCATCCAGTCCATGATAACAGGGGAATACACGGGTCTTCTCAAGGTGGCAAAGACTAGCGTGGAAAATTATGGAAATCAGACTCTGGTGTATCGAGTGGCTTTGCCGGTGCTGCTGCCAGCATTGGTGTTGCTTGTGGCGCTTCTGGCTTGGATCTGCTGGAAGAAGTCTTTGGAGAAAGCTGGCGGGGAATCAGACAAGGAGGAGGAAGAGTTGGAGATGTCCTTGCGGGATTGCATGCCCAGGAGATTCACTTACAAGGAGCTGGAGCAAATCACTGGGGGTTTTAGCAAGTGTCTGGGACAAGGTGGATACGGAAGTGTTTACCGAGGAAGCCTAGAAGACGGTAACCAGGTTGCCGTCAAGAAGCTCCAGGGCTCGAATCAAACCAGCCGGGATTTCTATGCGGAAGTGGCGAGCCTTGCAAGGACGAATCACTTGAACCTGGTGAAGTTCATGGGATTTTGTGCCGAGGGGCCAAGGAAACGCTTGCTCGTTTATGAGTTCGTGCCAAATGGCTCTCTGGAGAAATGGATCTTTGGCGATGATGGTGGCGATGATAGTTCTCCTCAACAACAGGATGGATCGGGTGGCTTGTCGTGGGACTTCAAGTTCCGGATTGCCGTTGGCACAGCTCAAGGATTGTGTTACTTGCACGAGGAGTGTGCGGAGAAAATTATTCACCTGGATCTCAAGCCGGAGAACGTTCTCGTAGACATCGGATTCGTGCCAAAGATTGCCGACTTTGGGCTGTCCAAACTCATGAATCGCGAGGTGACATACCTGCAAATGACGAGCATGCGAGGAACTCCGGGCTATCTTGCTCCGGAATACTTGCAAGTCGGGACAATCACTGAAAAGAGCGACGTTTACAGCTTTGGAGTGTTGCTGCTGGAGATCATCACCGGATGCAGAAACAAGTACATGTCAAGCGATTACCTTAGAAGCTTTTCACTCGGTGGTTTTTCACGCCAGAAAAGTTTCACGAAGTCAATCAGCAAAACACGGAAGAACTTATACAACTGTGATGGTGGACCTTCAGGAGGAGTTGCTGATAAGTACCAAGAAGCTGGGATGGAGAGATTGAAAGCAGTAGCATATTTGTGCGTGCAAGATGATCCCGACCTCCGGCCCTCGATGAGCACTGCTCTGAAAATGATGGAAGGACTAATTGAGCTACCAGAGACGCCACCTCTGTCGAGCTTGCATTTTTTCCTTGGCTATCGATCCAAGGTGAAGCTGCCATCGAGTTCCACGTCCAAGAGCATGTTTTCACTCAGCTCGGTGGATGAAACTTCAACTTTGTGATGAATGATAATATGCAAATGAATATATAAATTTATATATAGATAATTAAGAGCATCAATCAAGGTCACCTGTTTATTATTTAAATTTTTATATATTTATGTTCGCTCATATACATTTTATGCAAACTTTTCGCTTGGACCATGCATGATACATATTAATATTTTATGTATATTTTGATGTGTATATGATATAATTATTATATATAAGACTTTTGTGGTGCATTGAGTTGCAGCAACACTTGGTTTGCTTTTTTATCTGATTTTTTATGCTGGAATGATCTACTGTTTATTTAATCTGTTTTGAGTAGTCAATATTAAATCCCATTATTAGTTGTATTTTTTATTTTTTATTTGAATATGGTTTTGTAGGAGAATTTTTTATTTACTCATGATTTTCTATAGGTGATTTTTCTCGTAAAATATATATTATGTTATATTATATATTACAAAATAAAATTTCTCAGGATATGAGAATAGGTATCTTAATTACACGGTTTAGACCCAAGGTAAGACATAATTTAACTGGTAAATTTAAATTACAGGCATCACAACTAGAATTTATTAATATTTGATAACCTGTGGTATTTGATATGTAAAGAATAAAATTGGTGGGTATTGCATTGTAGCAATGCTTGGTTTGTTTTTGTTTTTCAATATTTTTTATTATGATATATAATTTGTTATGATCTGTCCAGTATGCAAGTGCTATTCCTGCTTTTGTAAATATTTTATCTTTTATCCATATATGATCTATTAGTTTCTTATTATGAGTATTTTCTTTTATTATTTGTATTTATGTTTCTTTCTCCATTATTGTTTAAAGTGTGTTTTGCTTCTTCTTTTGATAGTCAATATTGAAATCTCTTGTAATTAATTTTTTATAATTATCTATTTTTTGTATACATTTTGTAGTTCTTTTATGAATATTTGTGTATTTCTTCCAGATTTTCTATATAAATTTATTATCTGTAATTATTATTTTATTTCTAGTGATATATATGACATTGCCATTATTTCTGTTTTAAAATGTTCTACTTTTTCTGTTTTTTAGTCATTTGTATGCAATATTTCTATATGTCGGTGTTGTTTCTGTATATATGATTTATATTTATTAAAATATAAATCCTTGTGCCCATGATTATATTGGAAATTGGGTTCTACTTATAACATAATTTTTGTTTTTTGTAATATTTATTATTCTTGTTATGTGTTTTTAAACTTGTGTCCAGTTTTTTTATTCTTTTGCTTCACTATTATATTTATTCTTTAGCTATTTTTTACCTATTTTATATTGGGAATTCTATCCATATTATTTGTTCTTCTTTGATCTGGGTTACATCTTGTAATACTCCATCTGCTGCATTTACTAATCCATCTTCTTTTTTTATATTTGTGTTATTTCAATTGCCATTTTCTTTTTCAAATGTAATATTTTATATAGTTCTTGTGTTTTTCTTGTGTCATCTGGTATCCTGAAATGTGTAAGACAGGAGTTTCCATGTTTGTCTTGTGTTTCTATAATTATATCTATATCTTGTATGTGTTGTATTATTTTTTGTTATGTTCTCTTACTTGTTCATTAGTTGCAAATATGGAATAATATTCTGTGCTATATGTATTTTTGGTGACTTGTTTATTTATATATTCTAGCTCTATATTTTTTTGTTCTCCCATTTTTTATTATTCTTAAAACTTTAATAAAGATTGTATCTTCTTTTTGCCTCATTATTTCAGTGAGTTCATAGATTTTAAATTTGTTTTTCCATGGGTGGTGTATGAAGACATCATTTTTAGGTCCATATGTTTTTATTTCATAAACTGGTGCTTGAAATGTAGAATTTAATTGATAGAAATCACCTGTAAAAATACAATCCATCCCACAAAATTTTATTCCACATATTGTTTTGAAGCTTTCATATCTTCTATTTATATATGGTAGCATTTTTATACTTACCATTGATATTGCATCTATTACTAAGCATTTTATTGTTGAAAACTTTCTCTTATATTTATCTAATGTATCATTTGTTAATGTAATTTGATGTTGTTTTGATACTTCTAGTCAAAATGCAAAAGTTAAATGTATTGTTGAATAAGTTATTTTTCCTATAAGTGATGTTATTTGTGAGTGTTGTTGTGGATTTCTGTGTGCTTCAAAATCTAGAGCCAGTAAGAGAAGCACTACAAAATTTCAAAGTTATACCAATAGATATTTGTATTATAGAAAAAGCAATTGATAAATAGATAAAAGAGAAGTGTATCTATTTCTAGTTGTTAGTGATTTTCATATTGCTGAATTATTTGGTGTCTTAAAATGGACAATAATATTTACAACCCTATGGGATTTGAAGATAAATAAAGGGCAATCTTTTCTAAGAACTCTATAACTATAGACCCTTCAACCAAATTATAAATTTTATCCATCATTGTATCATGCATTGTAGCTCTACATTCCATCATGTCATTTGATATAATAGAACCAATTATTGTAGCTGATTTATGAGGGATGGAATGCCCTTTACACTTTGCACAAACAATAAAACCATATTCTCTCTCCTCTAAAAACTTTCAACTTGAGTGAGGCTTTACTGGTTATCAGGGATGAAATATCCACTAATCTGTATAATTGAAAGGAAATATAAATAGTTTACATTACCTTGTCTTTAGAAGTGAGGCCATGGTGTGTTTTATAAACTTCATTGAGCCTTTAAATTTCTTTTGAATCAACTAGTGGCAAAAATAAAGTATTTTCAAGTGTTGCTAAATCACCCAATACACTCACGCTTTTCATAATATTAAAAAAGTAAGAACTTTGGCATGTATCCAACATATAGATTTGCTACAATATAATGATACTGCTCTTCATGTTCTAGATGCATATAAAGCTGTGAACAACATCTTAGAAATGAAAAACTAAATAGGAAAAAATATTACCATAGTCACATCCAAAAGATTATTAGAAGAAGTAATTTTTTTTAAGGGAAAACACCAATGTTGGCATGTATAACTTGTGGATAAACTCTAGCAGCCATTAAAGATGATATAGAAGCACCTCTAGTTGGTTGTAATCTTAGTTTAACATCAAAATCATTATAATTTGAATGATAGAAGAATATGTAACATAAAGAACTTTTTCTAAAGTTCCATGGTGGTAAATTGGGTTTTTCTGTTGTTCAACCCATTTGAAGGAAGAGAATTATAATCTTGTTAATTTTTAAAGAGTAAGTTATTAAGTGAGAAGCATTTGCCAACTATAAACCTATCACATAATCACTCACACACAGATGAATTGCCATATACAGTTAAAGTTTGCAAACCATGCATATCTGTACAATCCATTATATAAGTTAGGTATTTTACACTTTTCAGAGTTTATTTTGCAAGATGAACTTTGTGATGCAATAGTGGCTTTTAGGATTTAACTTTGTCCTTTTTGCTTGTGAAACTACAAAACCAAAAAGAAATAAAAAAGAGTAAAACCAAACCTTCATGGGAATTTCTTTTGGTTGATAAATCTTTAGTGGATGACAACTAAAAAATATCCATAGCACTATCCAACATGATTGATTAAACAGAATTACCTCTAGTTAATTTATACTAGTAAAAAGAGCCAAAAATTAAAATCCAGAGCCAAAACACAAACTCATTTTGTAAGCCAAGTAAAAGTCAATTAGATCTTAGACGTTCATAGACATTGTCAAAAGGCTCTGTGTTTGAGAATATTCCCCAGCACAGCATCGTCTCTATTACAGGGATGGAATACTGCACCCTATTGAGACGAAATACAGCCAATTAAGAAGATCCATTTAGCCTCATCTCCCAAAACATCTCCAAAGATTCCTCACTTCTTCCATTTCTGAGTGTAGCAAGAGAGGATCAAGTTCTAGGATATGATATCATGATGATTCCATCCACAGATCCTGGAACATTAGTAAGTCTCCACATCAAATGTACATGGAGATTAATGGGTTTCTATGGTGTTCTTGTTTACTAGTGTCTCCCACAATCTGGGAGAGAAGAGACTTGGCTTGTGGCAAATTCCCTATAACAGCACAAGCATCAATCATTGATAGTAGCTGAAATCATTGAGCTTGATACCAATTTGATCCATGAACCTGGAAACTTTGAGAGCCTTGCAATTGCCATTTTGGACGTAGACCCCAATCAATATATTGTAAGTTAAAGTGTTTCTTTGGCTTATGCTCCAAAAGTACAAGCTCACAATTATTACAAACTATAATCTAATTAATCAAAAATTATAAACATGTTTAAGATTAATCTTATTGAATATTAACTATTAGATGGTAGAATAAACTAGAATATACTAGGAAGTGTTTAGAAAAGTTTATATATTATAAATACAAACTTAATCTAAATGAATAACAACCATTAAATGGTAAAATATTCTAGAATATCCAAGCATATTCTAGATATCACTTACATATTTACTTCATTCTAGAAGTGTCTTGCTTTGTATACATGTTTAATGACAGGATGTAAAACCAAATAGACTACTTGTGCATGACAAATTTACTTGGTTCTGGCATTGTATCTAAGGTCTTCCTGGCTTTTTTGAGTAGTCATCTTTGGCCAAATGCTGTGAGCATGCTTGTCCATGAAAGCACATCATGCTCCTCCATTGAATCAAACACAAGTTTTGCTTCTTCAAGGAATCCATGATCAAGTTTTTCTCAGGCATGTTCTCAAATAAACACTTCGCTTCATTCATATGCCCTCTTTGACCATAAGCTGTGATCAGAGCTGTCCATGACACGACATCATGCACCAGCATCATCTCAAACAAGATCTTTGCATTCTCAATTTTATCCTGTTTGAGGTAAGCAGCCTATAGTGTTCCCATCTTCCATCCCCTCAAATAATGTCTTAGCGTCTTCAACATGCCCATTTTCGGCATATGCCATAAGCAGAGCGTTCCAAGATATGACATTCCTTTCTTCCATGCTACAAAAAATACTCTTAGAGTTTTCCAGACCACCTTTTTGAGCATAAGCCAAGAGGAGAATATTACAAGATACAGATCATGGCATGGCATTTTAGAAAGCATTTCTTCTGCTGATCCAAGATGCCTGTTACGAGTATATGCCACCAGAAGATCAAAGCTCCCACTTCGATCATACATCTGTATGATCATGTTATGAACGTGGATACCATTGCCCATTACAAGGTCTTGCTGAAGCTTACTTGGGCATGGATGCGTTTCACTTGGGGTAGCGTCTTGCAAGACCTAATTATCTCAAGACTCAGTCCCCCAAGTCGTTGGCAAATGCCCAAACTGGGCATTTTGGTGGAATCTGAACACTATTTACAAAATTGTAGCCCACACAGCAATCACGTTTAGCTTATCCTGTTGATATATTCTAGCACACGTGATGCTTGTGGAGAGCAAATATGGTATCGGTTTTGTGAATAATTCAAATAATTCAGTCTCACATACCAGGTGAAATAATATTTGTTTTCTAAAGAAAAACAAATTGATAATAATGTACCATTTTGTAAGTGCCTAGTAAGATAAAGCAAACGTCAGCTTTAAATGGGCGCACAGCATTGTCTCTGTCGCTAGTCGCTGCTTGATCTGATCGTAGGTTGCCACCCCAGATCATCGCTTTCATCCATTGTCGCGTGCTGTAAAATCGTTTCTTGGAGCCAGCCTTTTGACTTTGCAGGTTGCTAGCTGGGGAGCTTATCTCCTCACGAGAGGGATACTCACAATGTCGTTTGCTCCGAGGGACACTCACGAAGGCCAAGTTCAGTTTGCGTTGGAGCGAGGAATTCCTGCGATGATCGGCATCATGCCTTCTCAGAGACTGCCTTATTCCGCGAGAGCATTTGACATGGCTCACTGTTCTCGATGTCTCATTCCTTGGACTGCCTATGGTAAGTGTTAGTTGATACTTCTTTTTCTGCCAAAGATGAGATATATTACAATACCATTCCAGGTGGCCTCTACTTGATCGAGATTGACCGTGTTCTTCGTCCCGGTGGCTACTGGATCCTGTCCGGGCCTCCTGTCAACTGGAAGCTGCACTGGAAAAGCTGACAGAGGACCAAAGAGGACCTGAGTGGGGAGATGACCGCGATCGAGAATATGGCGAAGAGCTTGTGCTGGAAAAAATTGCAGACCTTGCAATCTGGCAGAAACCGAAAGATCACACCGACTGCTCCAATGGTCCCGAGTTCTGTGACAAAGAGCAGGATCTTGATTTTGCCTGGTGTAGTTTTAAGTGTCAAGACAACAGCACCTTGTTTGTGACTTCAGGCACAAACCTATGGAGGCATGCATTTCGAAACTCCCGGAAGCTGACCAAAGCGAAGATCTTCCAAGTTGGCCCTCTCGGCTAACCACGACACCATCACGAATCTCCAGTCACTATCCAGTGAAGACAGCTTACTCAACTCTGGTTACAGAGAGCCTCGTACTACAAGAAGACGGTGCTACCAGTGCTTTCTTCGGGAAGATACCGTAACATCATGGACATGAACTCCGGACTTGGAGGATTCGCGGCAGCACTCTCAATGAACAGCAGAATGTGGGTGATGAACGTAGTCCCCCACCGATCCACGCTGATAACGTCTTCAGCCTCTACAAGGACCGGTGAGTTGATTGCTCGGTTTTAACTTGATATGTTCTAACGTGGCTGCTTGCGTTAGTAGATGCGAGATGAAAGACATCCTGATCGAGATGGACAGGATCTTACGTCCCGAAGGAAACGCGATCGTCCGTTTGCGTCTCCTCGGCTTCGCAAAACCTCGCCTTTCGTGGCTGCACAATCTTCACATGTTGCTCCCTCTCCCGGATTGTGGGAAACAGGCTCCAGCACTGGATCATCACCAGCACCCAAGTCACGAACGAGACGCTCGCGCAGAGAGATATCGTCAGCCACCCGGGTCCCGGCTGCCGGTTTTTTTTCTACTTCCTCGTCCTTCGATCCTTTGGCCGCGGCTGCCTGTTGCTCGATCACTTTCCTTATTTTCTAACTGCACCTTGTCTTCCAGGCTAGCTTTCTCTTCCTCCGATAGAGCTTCGTGACGATCCAGAGAAGAAGAAGACTCCAACACTGTGGTGGAGTTGGAGTTGGAGTTTTCGGTGGCCACTGCCTGCTGCTGCTTGCTCGCGAAGCTCTCGATCTGTTCCTTGGTGTTGCTGGAAGACGAGGAAGAAGCCACGTGGTGATCCTCTCCGGCGATGATCGGTACGTAGTAGCTTGAGTTTGCTCCTCCTCGTCGTCTAACCGTGCGAGGCTTTTGTAGGCACTGTCGAGCCAAGCAGGCATTTCCGGAGAAAAGCTCTGCTCCATCACCTCAGCCTGGTTCATCGTCGATGATTCGAGCTGGCACCTCGTTCCACTCGGGAACATCATCCTGGGAGGAAGAAGGAGCACTTCTTCCTCAACCGTTGGGAAAGCCATTGGAGCCTTGCCTCGCCTCTCGCCATTCTCTTCCGGAGCCTTCCCTTTCTTCCTTCGCAGCTCTCTCTCCGCGATCTTGCTCGAGACACCATCTTCTGTCCTTCCCTGTTCTTCCATCTCATCCTCTCGCCTCCCCGTTTCTACAACCTCTCCTCTATCCAGAGACAAAGCTCCTCCTCCATCTCCTCCACCGCCACCATCTAAACCCCGATCTTCATCCAGAAACCATTCCACCTCCTCTATGTCCGAGATAAACTTGTTCTTGCTGGCGCACAAGTGATCATATTCTTTGGACTGGGTCGATCGCTGCTACTGCCACTGTTCTTCCCGGCGCTGGAGTTCACGCCCACAGATTCTTGCTAGAAGTGATCTCCGGCTCCAAGAACGAGCCTTTGATGAGATACGTCCTCGGTGTCTCGGACTCCATCTCCTTTGCCGGATAGCTCTTCTCGCACTTTTCCATCTCTTTCGCTGGAAGGATCGTCTCGCACTTCGGGCTGGGCGATTGGGAAGCGCACCTGGGAGTGGTGCCGCCGCTCCGGGAGCTCTCCCTGGCGGTGGCGCATCGGGATTTGGCCTTGCCGCCCGCCGCCGCGATCAATTTCGCCGCCTCGCTCTTGCTCTTGCGGAGCTCGCTCGTCCCCAGTGAAAGGATTGGATCGTCGCTACCTGCGGTGTAGAGATTGGCGCCGGATTCCGGGTGCTTGCTCCTCATTGGATCGATCGACGAGAAGAATGTGACGCGGACGCGAACTTTCCCCTTGTTCCTAGCAAGAAACCCTAGAAGTGTGTAAGCCCTATCAACAAGCGCGCCCCTTGAACCTGGGCCATGCAAAAGTGGACGGCGCGGATGTTGCCACGCAGGCAGCTCCAACGGCTTCGTTTTTACAAACACTTTTTTACGTGTAGCTTGATTGATTTTCCGTATATAACAAACCAATCAAATGGAGCTAAATTATTTAGTTGACATGTGGCGGATGATGAACACGTAACGTATTTTCCTACTTTTCTGTGTGTGGGTGTCCAAACCATGTGAAATCGCTTGATGGATTTGAAAACCTCGATGTTGTGCCATCAGTCCTTATGTGGAACACAAAAACACATCCTTGCGATCTTTCTTTCCATCGCTTTGGGAAGCTTGGGCATTTTCGACCATTCATTCCTGTGATGCAATATTTGGCAGTAACTTCTTCAAGCTCGCTTCATTAATCGCGTACCAGAAAGTTTGTCCCTAATCCCGGGTTTTGAAGATCCAGGTAATCGTGCGTTTGTATGATTTCCTGGTTTGCTAACTCAATGCTCTAGGCCTTCCCTAAATGGTGTCATAGCAATTGATGTTGTAGACAATGACTCTGATATGAGAGAGAGAAACAAGAATAGAAGCGTGAGTATGTTATCACAAACCATTCGATTTCAAAACCTGTAGAAGAAAAGAAAAGAAAGTGGGATCCCATTTTCGTGATAAATCTTAACTGTTAGATTAGGATTTTTAAACCATGCTTACAAACCAAAAACGAAAAAGTTTGAAAGTCAACAGTATTTTGAGACCACGCGGAATGACCCAGTCGCTTGATTGCTATTCATATGACCCCTAGATCGAGCAAATAGAGAATCCACACTTCAATCAATGCAAATGCAGTGATCGCGCTGGTGGTCTAATCCTCAATTTCTTCCATGGGTTTGAGGAATGGCAGCAATCTTCATCTTTTTCCTCTTTTAGTTCTAGTCGCCATTGGAGCTGCCCGAGCTCTCCAGTGCTACCCCGTGAATCAGACCACGTCTTACAACAGCGATGATCTTGGCGACTACTGGCAATATCCCCTCGACACCGACGGATTGAGCGGGCGCTACACGGGCTACTGGTCCAACACGACGTACATCGAATTGGGCGACATCACATTCCAGCTCTGGTTCCTCACTTACGACGCTCGCAACTTCACGCTCTCTCTCGTCGCCATGCGCGAGCCCACCCAGGAGTGGGAACTCTACAGGCCCGTAGTGTTGTGGACCGCCAACCGGGACAGGTACTTTGGAGAGGGCGCGACGCTCGACTTTGGCGCCGATGGAGAGCTCATCGTCCGGGAGAATGGGCTTACAGTGTGGTCGACCGGCACGGCCGGGAAGGGCGTCACGGAGATGTGCATCACCAATCTGGGCAACCTCTTGCTGAGAAACTCCACCGATCATATCATCTGGCAGAGCTTCGATTCTCCATCGGATACAATCCCCATGCAGGTGGCGTTCAAGCCCGGGAATCGACTCGTCAGCTGGGCTTCCCTCAAGGATAGCAGCCGAGGATCGTACAGCCTCGCCATGGAGGAAAATCGCCTCGCCCTCTACTTCAATTCGGAGGTCTACTGGAGTTTCGAGAGTGATGGTGGGGATCCAGGAAGCAGTGACTTGTTTGCGGCAGTGTGCTGGCAGAGGAATGGTCTCATGTCGCTCGATCTCCAGCGCAATGCGTCCATGCCGGGGTACGAAGGGTTTCTGTCGGCGGAGTCGTGCCAGAGCTCAGCACCCGTGAAGAGATTCGAGATGCTTCGTAATACCCAGAACTTCACGTATGGGACCTTCCTCAAGCTCAATACCATGGGCGATCTCACCGTCTACACCTGGACCACCACGGGCAACTACTGGTATGCTGCGTTTAACCTCTCGAGCAACTTCAGCTGCTTCCTCCCTCAAGCTCAAGAGTGTGGCCCATACGGGATCTGCAACAAAGGGGACGGCCAATGCTGCCCTGGTTCTCTCAATTACCAGGGTGGTGTTTGCGGTGCTAGGAGGCCTCTGCCGCTTGATCCCAGAAGATGTGAGCCCCATGAGATTGTACGAATGGAAGGAGTTGACTACTTCTCTACCAACTTTAGCAGGGAAGTGCCCGTGGTGGACGAAAGCGAGTGCCGTAGGAGATGCGAGGAGAATTGTTCGTGTATGGCTGCGTTTTTCAAGGAGAAATCGTGTTTCCAGACGCACGAGCCCATCCAGTCCATGATAACAGGGGAATACACGGGTCTTCTCAAGGTGGCGAAGACTAGTGTGGGAGATTCTGGAAATCAGGCTCTGGTGTATCGGGTGGCTTTGCCGGTGCTGCTGCCAGCATTCGTGTTGCTTGTGGCGCTTCTGGCTTGGATCTGCTGGAAGAAGTCTTTGGAGAAAGCTGGCGGGGAATCAGACAAAGAGGATGAAGAGCTGGAGATGTCCTTGCGGGATTGCATGCCCAGGAGATTCACTTACAAGGAGCTGGAGCAAATCACTGGGGGTTTTAGCAAGTGTCTGGGACAAGGTGGATACGGAAGTGTTTACCGAGGAAGCCTAGAAGACGGTAACCAGGTTGCCGTCAAGAAGCTCCAGGGCTCGAATCAAACCAGCCGGGATTTCTATGCGGAGCTGGCGAGCCTTGCAAGGACGAATCACTTGAACCTGGTGAAGTTCATTGGATTTTGTGCCGAGGGGCCAAGGAAACGCTTGCTCGTTTATGAGTTCGTTGCAAATGGCTCTCTGGAGAAATGGATCTTTGTCGATGGTGGTGGCGATGATGATAGTTCTTCTCAACAACAGGATGGATCGGGTGGATTGTCGTGGGACTTCAAGTTCCGGATTGCCGTCGGCACAGCTCAAGGATTGTGTTACTTGCACGAGGAGTGTGCGGAGAAAATTATTCACCTGGATCTCAAGCCGGAGAACGTTCTCGTAGACATCGGATTCGTGCCAAAGATTGCCGACTTTGGGCTGTCCAAACTCATGAATCGCGAGGTGACATACCTGCAAATGACAAGCATGCGAGGAACTCCGGGCTATCTTGCTCCGGAATACTTGCAAGTCGGGACAATCACTGAAAAGAGCGACGTTTTCAGCTTTGGAGTGTTGCTGCTGGAGATCATCACCGGATGCAGAAACAAGTACATGTCAAGCGATTACCTTAGAAGCTTTTCACTCGGTGATTTTTCACGCCAGAAAAGTTTCACGAAGTCAATCAGCAAAACACGGAAGAACTTATGTGATGGTGGATCTTCAGGAGGAGTTGCTGATAAGTACCAAGCAGCTGGGATGGAGAGATTGAAAGCAGTGGCATATTTGTGCGTGCAAGATGATCCCGACATGCGGCCCTCGATGAGCACGGCTCTGAAAATGATGGAAGGACTGATTGAGCTACCAGAGACGCCACCTCTGTCGAGCTTGCATTTTTTCCTTGGCTATCGATCCAAGGTGAAGCTGCCATCGAGTTCCACGTCCAAGAGCTCCAAGTTTTCATTCAGCTCGGTGGATGAAACTTCAACTTTGGTTTTCATTAATTAATGCATTTTATTCAGCATAGATAATTCCTAAACCCTAAACTCAGTTTATCAAGTGTTTACTTTTTAAACTTGTTTTTATAACAAAAGGTCTTTATTATCTATTTTGTGTTAACTAATGTGATAGTATTCCTAAAAGAAAAATGAAAGGGTCATTAATTTATTTACAAGGATGTACCACTTATTTGACTTTAGTTTTTCAAAAAAATCTTTATATTAAAACCTTCCATTATAACAACACTAACAAAACATTGTTGATTTAAGAAATAAAGGACATCAATCCAAAAAATACCAACAACACTAATATCTATGATTAACTTCATCAAGTCTTAGCAAATATTATGGCTATAACTATATCCTCATCTTTATCCTTGAACATGGGTGCCAATAATGTGAACATGTGTTAGAATATAATCATCTCCTACATGAAGGGGAGCTCAAGTACATATAAGGAGAGATGATATTTTATAGCATTGTATTAATTAAAAAGTATCATCAAAGGTGGCTAGAATAAATGTATGCACAAGTCGGTATTTGCTATAACATGCCTAACTTGATCAACTCTAATATATTTAGCTCCACACAAAATAAAAAACTTAAAAGTAAATACTAAATTGCATAATTGATTCAAATAACCCTTGATATACATTGTTGTCATTTATATTTGTGTATTCTTTATGGTAATAGCCATACACATGAATATATATGAGATGAAGTGAATGGGATGAAGTAGATTTAGTTGTGTGTATAAATAATTTTCAGTTTGAGCTTCAATCATTGTAAATGGTGTGAAGTTAAATTTTCAACTTCATCCTTGATATAGATTGACTGTAGCATAATCATATATGTTACTTTAAGGCTTTTCTCTTTATCTTATACTCTTTACTTTTATTCTTTTTTTAATTTTTTTTATTTTTACCTTTTACTTTCATTAATTTTTTCTTCTTATTACTTTTTATTATATTTCTTTTTTACTTTTTATTCTCTCTCTAAATCCCTTAAATAACCTTTATGCTTTAGTGATTGACCAGTTTATGATTATGTTAAGGATTATGTTTATCTCTTTAACTTTGACATATTATTTAAGGCTAAGATTAAGGATGCTTGTCTAATTAAGGTTTATATTTTGCATTGTCATAAAGAAGATCAAGATTTTACAAGAAAAAAGTAAAAGAAATATTGGAAAAAGGTGTTAAAAGTTTTAAAGCCTTTAAATATATAAACTTCATTTTATGACAAAACTTTATAGAAGTATTTTTTTCTATATTAATTATTGTTTTTTAAACAATACAATTATCCCAAATGTGTACTATCTTCCTCATACTACCGATCTTTGAAATTATCTAAGGAAAATTTATTAATTCACCAAGTTAAATTTTGACAAGTGCTCATAGCTAAAGAAAATGTTTCTATAATTATTTTTATGCATAGTTTATATAAATTTTTGGTAATGCCATTTTATGTTCTGATGACTTTCTTGCAGATGATAAATAAAGCTCTTTGTAATATGTTAAAAGTGATTATTGACTTCATTGATAATGTCTTAATTCACTCCAAAAAGATGTAAAAAAAGCATATTTATGATATCCACAAAATGTTAAATCAATTATGGGAAGCTAGTTTGAAATTAAAGAAGTGGAAATATGTATTTAGATCCAAGAACAAGCTTGTGATTATGTTAAAGTTCCATACTCCAAAAATGTGAAACACTTCCTCAACTAAATGTAATGTTTTAGTAATTTTGTTGATCATTTTTCTAATTAGCAAGCATCACTAAAGTTGTCAACTTTGCACCATTGCACTTGAACCTAGTGAAGTTCATAGGATTTTGTGCAGAGGGCCCAAGGAAACACTTGATCATTCATGAGTTTGTGCCAAATGGCTCTCCAAAGAAATGGATCTTTGGCAATGATAGTTCTTCTCAACAATAGGATGGATTGGGTGGCTTGTCTTCCAGTTCCAGATTGCTGTTGGCACAGCTCAAGGATTGTGCTACTTGCACTAGGAGTGTGCCGATAAAATCATTCACCTGGATCTCAAGCTGGAGAACATTCTCGTAGACGTCAGATTCGTGCCAAAGATTGCCGACTGTGGGCTGTCCAAACTAATTGCGAGGTGACATACCTGCAAATGACAAGCATGCGAGGAACTCCGGGCTATCTTGCCGGAATACTTGCAAGTCAGAACAATCACTGAAAAGAGAGACGTTTTCAGCTTTGGGGTATTGCTTCTGGAGATCATCACGGGATGCAGAAACAAGTACATGTCAAGTGATTATCTTAGAAGCTTTTCACTCGGTGGTTTTCACGCCAGAAAAGTTTCACGAAGTCAATCAGCAAATCGGAAGAATTTATGTGATGGTGGATCTTCAGGAGGCAGCTGGAATGGGGAGATTGAAAGCAGTGGCATATTTGTGCGTGCAAGATGATCCCGACCTGCGGCCCTCGATGAGCACGGATGGAAGGACTGATTGAGCTGCCAGAGACGCCACCTCTGTCGAGCTTGCATTTTTTCCTTGGCTATCGATCCAAGGTGAAGCGCATCGAGTTTCGTATCTAAGAACTCCATGTTTTCGTTCATGAAACCTCCACTTTGCTCAGATTGGAAAGAATTAACTAATGCTTATCGAAAGCTCATTAGCATCGGATGGCAAAATTTACAGTACATTTTTACCATCAGCATCTCCATGATTCCAGCACTTGACAGATCCACCAGCGTTGTCTATAGAGCTTTTCTTTAAGAATGCTGTCAGAAACTTCTAACTCACAGGCCCAAGCCACAAGCAAAACCATAGAAAGCCTCATTGAAATTAGTCAAAGTTATGCCTTTGCACTCTATATGATGTTTTGATCACGATTAGCACGCCCGCCATTTCTGGAGCATTTACACTCCCGCCCAGGTGCAGCAATGTAGTGGCTACTGTTTCTAACCCCTCGAGACTCTCCCTAGTTATCCCGGGGGATACTGGGATCCGTAATTGTTTTCACGCAGCTAAGCAGCGCCTCGCGTAAGCTGGTAGCAACCCAGGATTATATTGCCAAGAATGTCACCTCGTTCTCCACTTCAACTCGGGGACAATTGCCCCGTTCTTGGAACGACACGGAGGATTGAGTGATATGCTGCCAACAAGCTCTCGAGCAACTTTAACTTTAGCTGCTTGCTTCACATGTAGTTTATGAAAACGGGTGTGTACAACGCCCTCACCAGGTGGAAAGATCTAAAACGCATTGAAAACAAACAGGTTCTTCGAGTAACTCTGGGAGCAGCAACTTTGGCATCTCCAGGGATAATCCTCTGAGGTGGCGAGCCACGTGATAAGAGGAGGAAGCGTCTCTCCAGGACTTCATGCCAAGGCGATTAATTTTCAAGGAGCTGGAAGAAATCGCTGATGGACGCGTTTACAGGGGAAACAAGCACAATGGCGTCCCACTTGCTATCAAGGACGAATCACTTGAACTCGGTGAAGTTCCTGGGATATTGCGTTGGTGGCCACGCAAACTTTTATGGCACGAAAACTCAAGTCACGCTATTTGGTTAGATTGCTTCAAGAGTTAAAATGGCAAGATTTGTGCCTGTGACTTGTGAAACGCAACTCTATGTTGACTTAATTCTGAAACTTGACTCCTTTTCATATGAACGCAGATCAGAGTAGACTCTTAAATCAGCAGCTAGAATGCCTGGAGTTTTTCAAGCTTTTGCATTGATTCTTCTAGGAATTTTCACAGTAAAGCTCCCCACTGCACAGGAAATACAATGTAACGGTGATGTTTGCTCCCCTCTCTGTGTTTCTCTACCCCTTCCCAAGCAGTCATGCTTTGAGAAACTCTATGTTTTCGGGAATTCACTCGAAGACATGGGAAATTTGGCAAGGGATACCTCTCTTTTTCTCCCACCCTTTCCATATGGTATTACAAATCCTGGGTGCCCCAAGGGCCGATTCTCAAACGGGGGGATCATCACAGACTACTTCGGTAACGTTTTGGGCCTCTTGGTGTTCAATTCTAACTTCTCAATGTTTAGCTAGTTTGTTTGATCTTCAATTATCGGTACTTCCCTCGGATTGTGGCTGTACAACAAATTTCGCGTATGCTGGTGCCACTGCGTTGGAAATCCAGTACTTTCAAAGCAGGAACCTACGCACCATAGTTAACGTATCCTTCGACAACGAGACCCGGTGGTTTAACTCGTACAGAGAGAGATGTGAATCCGGAAAGTCCGCTCGCGTCGCTGCTCTTGTTGGCGGAGGTGGAAATGACTACAACATCCAAGATGGTGCCAATAGAACACTGTCCGAGATTATGAGGACCGTCCCAGACGTGGTGCGTAAGGTGGTGGACACTGTAAAGGTGACGGGCTTTAAATTTTGAGGTGATCCTTGGTGAACATGTGATTTTGCAGTACTTGATGTATAAAGGTGTGGAAACGGTGATGGTTTTCAACGTGCCACAGACAGCATGCACTCCAGCCTATCGCTTCCGGCACCGTGGCGAGGCCTTGGACGAGTTTGGATGCGTCATGGCGATCGGAGAAGTTGTCAAGTGGTACAACTCGTTGCTGGAAGCTACGTTGCTGGATCTCTACAAGACACAATATTCAGCTGCGAGGATCTTCGTCTTGAATCGATACAAATTTCTCAATGACGTGCTCAGAGACCCAATGAAATATGGTATGGGAGTTTGAGTTAAACGACAGAGTTTCTTCACATCTTTTACAGGGTTTCTTCCTGATATCACACATGTAGCCTGCTGTGGAGGTGGAGATGAATTCAATGCGAGTGTCGTCTGTGGAGGACAACTTCCTTGCAAGAATCCTCAAGAGCATGTCTACTTCGACTTTGTCCACTTCACTGACCGTTTTAACAAGCAGGAGATACAGGCATTTTCACTCACCGAAGAATACATCATCTCAAATCATTACAAGCAAACATCTTTGCTGGATGTGTGCGGTTGCGACTGCTACACATGAAAAGAATACATGCAAAGCATAATATGCATAGCGATTTGAAAAAGTCAAGATTAATCTAATTGATGGAAAATATATACCTTTCCATCTCAAATCATGCATGTTGATCTGCCTAATCCAGGAATAAACACCTTTACATAGGAAAGAGATCCATTGGTGAAGCATTCCTTGCAAAAATGCCTAGAGCTCTCGTTTTAATCCTTGTAGTAAATCTTCTCACGGCAAAGCTCTCCACTTCACAAACGACATCATGTACTACGCTCCTCATGAGCGTCTCTCTGCCTCTCCCTAAGCAGCCGTGCTTCGAGAAAATCTATGTTTTCGGGGACTCCCTTGAAGACATGGGAAACTTGGCAAAGAGCACCTCTCTTTTAATTCCACCCTTGCCGAATGGTATCACCAATCCCGGGTGTCCCAAGGGCCGATTCTCAAACGGAGGAGTCATCACAGATTACTTTGGTACAGCTTCCACCATGTTTTAAGGTGATGAATAACTCTTGTCATGGTTTTCTGATTCCTATAGCTAGTCTGTTTGATCTTTAACGCTCAATGCTCCCATCGTCTTGTGATTGCACAACAAACTTCGCCTACGCTGGTGCCACTGCTCTGGGAATCGAGTATTTCCAGGAAAGGGACGTGCCAGTCCTAGTGAACGTATCCTTTGACAACGAGATTCGGTGGTTTCGCTCAAAAAGGGAGAGATGTGATCCTAGAAAGTCTGGTCGTGTTGCTGCTCTCGTTGGTGGAAGTGGAAATGACTACAATCTGAAGACGTCAGGAATCGAAGCGTATCAAGCATCATGGAGACGGTCCCGGACACAGTAAAGGTGGCGAGCGCTTGAGATCAGAAAACCTTTTGAAGTTAACAATATTTATCATGTTTTGCAGCTCTTGGTTTCCGAAGGCATTAGAACGGTGAGTGTTCTCAACGTGCCACAGCCAGCATGCACACCAGACTATCGCTTGAGACATCCGGCCGAGGATCTGGACGAGTTTGGGTGCGTTAGGGCGATTGGAGAAGTTGTCAAGAGGCACAACTCGATGCTGGAAGCTGCTTTGCTGGCCCTGTATAACAAGCCACATTCAAGCGTGAGGATATTCGTCTTGAATCGCTACAAATTCCTCAATGACGTGCTCAGAGACCCGATGAAATATGGTAGTTCAAAGTTCAAAGTTGTTCTCAAGTTGTCTCCGAGTTTTTCTCCCTACCAATGTATGGAGATTTCTGTCACAGGGTTTGATAGGGATATCACACACGTAGCTTGTTGTGGGGGTGGCATACAACGCGAGTGTTCCGTGTGGGGGACAGATTCCTTGCGCAAACCCTCAGGAGCACGTCTACTTCGACTTCCTTCACTTCACAGACCATTTTAACTAGCAGGAGGTGCGGGCATTTGCTTCTACCAAAAACTATATCGTCTCAAACGAGAAAGTGATGTTGTGTTTGCGTGATCCCCGTCCCAAAGATGCATCAAAGTGCTATTGATATCAACTTTTTATTGAGATAGTATTAAATTTCAAAAAAAAAAAAAGATTTTGTAAACATAAAGGTGTGTATAATCTCTCTCTCTTTTCTACATTATGGCTTCCTCGTAAACCCTAGAATCATAAAGTTTTAAACCCTAGGAAAGCTATGGCGATCCAGCAGGTAAGATGTGCGTGGGTTTTGTTGATAAAGAATGTGGCGCAGCAGGCAAGCGGTGGCGATGGCGATGGCGATTCTCCGGTGTTCATCGACCAAGCTGATGTTGATGGCGAAGTTTTGATCGATGAGCAAGGTAGAAATTTCTCATGAAGAGGACAAGCGAATGAATGCCTCTTTGTGATAGATTTGCCTGATGCCGAGGAGGACGGGGATGGGGAAGATGAAGAAGAAAAAGAAGAAGAAGAAGAAGATGGTAATGATGATTCGATCCATATCTTCACGGGCCATACTGGTAAATTCGAAGCTTCATTTTTGTTCTTTCTCCTTGATCCAGAGTGTAAAAGGAATGCTTTTGCGTAGAGTCTGTCTACGCTGTTGCGTGCAGCCCAGTGGAGTCCAGCGTGGTGGCCACGGGTGGTGGCGACGACAAGATTTTCATCTGGAAAATTGGCGATGATGCCGCTCCATTAGAGCTCAAAGGTTTGTAAAAAAACATTCTTGCTATCGATCATGTCTCTTTTTTCCTCTTTCTTTGTGACAGAGCACAAAGACTCCATTTCCTCGCTAGCTTTTAGTTTTGATGGAAAGCTTCTCGCTTCCGGAGGACTGGATGGCGTTGTCTGTGTTTGGGATGGAGTTGGATCCTTGAAACACAGGCTGGAGGGTCCAGGAGAAGACATTGTGGTACTAAAGCTTTACCTTCTCTTCTAGTTTTCGAAGACGCTAGTGATTTTTCTCTTTGGTTTTTGGCAGTGGCTTTGTTGGCATCCCAGGGGACACATACTTCTGGCTGGATCGCAGGACTTTTCAGTGTGGATGTGGAATGCCGACAGTGGAGCTTGCTTGAGCGTGTTTACGGGTCACAGTGGATCAGTGATTTGCGGCTGCTTCACTCCAGATGGTATAAAGCTAAAGCACTCTCACACGACACGATTCTTTCGATGCCTTTAATTGTTTCCTTTCGTTTCCAGGAAAGCTTGTTTGCACAGGCTCCAGTGACTGTAGCTTGCGAGTGTGGAATCCAAGGTCCGGCGAATGTATCCGGAACATTCAAGGTGACGAAGGAGTGACTTATAGATGGCTCGTTTACAAAGGTTTTTGAACTTACAGGGCATCCATACCACAGAGGAGGAGTTACGTGCGTCGCAGTAAGCCGTGATTCTAGCATTGCTCTTACGGGCTCCGCGGATGGAAGCGTTTGTCTCGTAAACATCCAAAGCGGAAGAGTAAGCTCTCTCTTTTATTCCTCTTGTAGCTTTCAGAGCTTTACTTCTTCCTCCATTCCTTCTTTTCAGGTTCTCGGCACTTTATCTGGCCACACACAGGCCATTGAAGCCATTGCATTATCCCCCAGGTGCTTGCCAGCATTGTTTCTTTCTCTCTTTTTTTTGTTTTTGCTTCTTTATTCTAAAGTTTGGCATGGCCTTCTCAAAGCTTGTCCCTGGCGGCCACTGGCGGAAGAGATAAGAAGCTCATTGTTTGGGACCTCCAAACACTCTCAGTGCGCTTAACTTGCGACCACCAGGTAGAAAAAAAACCTCTCTTTTTTCTTGCAAATCCTCTCTTTGAATTGCTTCCGTGATGAGCACAGGACGATGTTTATCGAATAATCTGGTCGCCCTCGTCCGAGATGATCTACACGGCTTGTCTTGACGGCAGTGTCCATGCTTGGAACCCCCGGAGTGGAACACGTCAAAAGAGCTTCCACGGTCACAGTGACGGCATTTTGGACATGGCATTGACATGGTACTTCCAAACTCTCCCATTCTTTTCTCTGGAAAAAAATTGCTTTTTTTTCTACGCAGTGATGGCATGGCGATTGTGTCAGGCTCGGATGATACAACAGCCAGAGTTTTCGAAGTGAGTTAGATCGATCTTTAACATCGGTGTGGTGTGGTGTGCGTTTCTCTCTCTGGTCACCATCTCATCTCTTACAGTACAAGAAAGAACAAAGCTTGCTGTTTCATGTATAGCTGTGAAAGGACCCGACAATCGAATTAAAAGAACGCACACCCCTCGAAGCCTTTCGAGAAACGACGCGAGAGGAAAGTTTCTTCGAGTTCCTGGAAATCTCTCTCTCTACACACTTTTGTAGTTTGCGAAAAGAATCACGCTCTATAGCTACTCGCGCGCAAATTCCCAGAGCTTCTCTCTTCCCTTCTCTACCATAACTTACACCTCTCTAAAGAGCTAAAGTTTCTATCCCCTCTTCTCTTCTATCAGGAGCCGCGAATGCTTCTTAGCTACTCATCTCTCAACCTGGTAGAATCGAAGGCTCAAGAGAGAAAAAAAAAAAAAAAAAAAAGAAAGCTAGAAAAGAATCTCTGGAAGAACAAAAGTACCTCGGTTTGTGTTTTCGTCACCTTCTTCCCAGCCCGTCCACGAGCGCAAAACCTTCCACCAGCCCTCTCGTGGTAGCCGAGCTCTCGGCTTCCTGGAACTCCTGGCTCTGCCTCTCTTGCATCATCAGCGATGGCGGCCCTTGCTGCTGGATTCGCTGCTGCTGCTGCTGCTGGCGATGGTGGAGCAAATGCTGCTGCCTCTGATCCATCAAGTTCTTGAAACCATCGAACTTGAGAGCCTTGGTGCTGCTCCCTCCGCAAAGTAGCTCCGCTCCCTGTACCGCATCGAAGCTCAAGCCGAGCGAGCCAGTGTGACGCTCGGCGCTGTCGATCCACCCTCGCTTCTGGTGGCTCCGGCTGTTGCTCTGGAGCTTGCTACTCTCGGTGTTGTGAGCGCAGTTCTCGGGACTCGAGAACAAGCCACCGCCGACGGCCGAGGCTCCTGCGTTGGTTGGAGTCGCTTCCGCGCTGGGCATTATGCTTAGCACCTCGGCCTCGCCCTGGACACCACCACTGTCGTCCCTGTTGCTCTCGTCAAGCTCGTCAGTGGTTTCGTCCAGCTGCTTGCTGTTGTTGGTAGTGTTGTTGACGTTGCTGATGGTGGTGGCGGTGTTGCCGCCGCTGTTATTGTTTTGCTGCCCGGACTTCGTGGACGCGCTCGGCGTGCCAATAATTCCCTTCTGGTACAGCACGTCCAGCTCTTGAAAGTATGGGCACGTCTTCGTGTTCTCGGGCCGCTTCTTGGTGCTCGTTTTGCGGTAGTACTTGTTGATGTTCTCCCACTTCTCCTTGCACCTCTTTGCGCTTCGAGAGTATCCCTGGCACGCCAGCCCCGCTGATATCTCCTCCCAAAACGGGCCCTTGGGACCGACCTCCTGGAACTTGGTCTCCATTGCGGCCCGCAGCTGGATCAAAGCTTGGACTTCGGCTCTCGGCCACCTTTTGTTCATGGAGTCACACACCTCCTTGTGGTGATCGTCGTTGCTCTCGGCCAGGGTGTTGGAGTACGGTGAAGGAACCGGTCCCTGGTGTGGCATTTCAAGAACCTGACCCGTCGCCTTCTGAAGCGCACTAGCAAGCGCCGTGTCGTAATTGATTCTCCTCGTGTGTTCTTCCACCCGGAGCTCATATTCCCGGTTGAGCCTCGCCACCTCCTGCTTCCTCCACGTCTCGTCCCGCTTCATTCTCTCCTGCTCTCTCTTCTCGAGCAGCTCCAGAAAATTCTGCTGCATCTGCTCCTGCTTCTCCATAAACTTCTTAACTAGATTCTCGAAAAAGGCCATCCTTTCCTTCCACGACTTTCGCTTCCTCTTCTTCACGTTCTTTCCGTGGTCGCCGTACTCGCTGGTTCCACCACCGGGCTCGTCATACTCTGCAGATGACTCTGACGAGGAATTCACGTCAAAGTTGCTGTTGTTGTTGGTGGTGGTGGTGGCATGATCGATAATGTTGTTGTGATTTTCTCGTTGTTCCGAGCAATCACCTTCTGGATCTCTGCTACTTAAAACACCTTGTGCCAACGCACTCGCCAGCTGCTGTGTTCCAACGCCGCTGTCACGGTTGTGGTTTCCATTGTTCCCTTCCTTGTGGAACTCCGTCGTTGTCGCACCCATTGTAAGCCCACTGTTACTACCGTACAAAGCCTCTAGCTCCTCGAAGAAGCGGTAGCCTGTGTCTTCACCTCCGTTCCCTTCTTTTGTCTTTCTGAAATAGCTGACAATGCTTTCGAACTTCTCCTTGCAGTTTTTCCCGCTCCGCATGTAGCCCATGGCTCCAAGTTTCCTGGAGAAAGTAAAAGTCACTGGTGATAAAGGAAAGCTTAAAGGCAAACGATCACGACCAATGAGGGTGATATAGAGAAGCGTTTAGTAGCACAAGCAAATTCACGAGTCATTGCACAGAAGTTCATTCACGAAGAAACCAAATCAATGCTGGTGATATAGAAAACTTAAAAACGAAAAGAAAATCCACAGAAGGAGAAAGGAAAGAATGTTTGTTCATGCAAGCGGATAAAAAGGGGCAAAACTCCAAAAAGAGGAACAAACAAACTTCTCTAAAGGATGGCCTCTCACGTGTATCACCACACGCACCCCTTCCAGAAACCTAAAACGCTTCCACAAATCCAGGAGCTCGCTCCAAGCGAAATCTTAGGGCTAAAACCATGAATGCAAGCTATCCACATACCTCGAGATCTCTTCCCAGAGATGGGGATGGGCGCCCCTCTGGAAACTCGACTCCATGTCCCCGCGAACCTTGATCAAGGCCCTTGCCTCGTCGCTGGGCCACTCGCCGCTGCCATCCTCACGATGATCCCCCCGATCGCTTTCTTGCCGGCGCTGGGGGTGATCGTGCTGCTGTCCGAGATCGCTAGGAATTCTCGCCATAGCCACGGAGCAAGAAGACAAGAGATGCTTGAAAGAAGAAGACGCCGGCGGGTCGTGAGGAGGAGGATTGGCATGGAGATTGTGAGCCAGATACTGGAGATGCGCGTGATGATCCCTCACGAAATGCTGCTGCTGGTGCTGCGGCTGTGGAGGAGCTTGCACTGGCGGTGGCGGCGACATCGGCTCCCGGGAGATTCCCAAGAAATGACCCACGCCGCTGGCGCTGGAGGCCGCTGCCAGATTTCTTGCGGCGAGCATCTGCTGGAGTTCGTGAGGAAGAACATACTGCTGCTGCTGCTGCCGCAAATCCGATGCTCCTCCCCCCGCGGCAATCGGCACGCGGTTCCAATCCCTCATCTTTGCCGCGACCTAATCGATACCGGCGCCTAGCGCTCCTGCCAGGGATTCCGCCATGGCAAGAGGAGGCCGCGAGCACGGATCGATCGGCGCCCGCGGAAATAGGGCGAGATCGATCGATATTACGGCAATCTTGGGGGGCGTTGCGGACAACTCACCCCCGCGCTGGAAAGAAAGAACTGGAACAAGAGGAAGAAGCCGCTTCAAGAGAAAAGGTCGCCATTCTGTGGCGGAATGGGAGCGCCATCGGCACCATCCATCTGTCCACCTGACCATTCCGCGGCATATTCCAGAAGAGAAGAAAGATTATCCGGGCTTCGATAAAATTCGAGGCTTGGATGGATGACGTCTGCCAAGGAAGCTACTTTGAGTTACAAAAGAGTTACCGATCGATCGGCGTAACTACTGGGCCGCATTCACTGTGTTGGTTGCCCGCCCCCACGTTTGGGTGGTCACTGGTAAGGTTTTTTACCAGCGGGTACTTAATTATTGCGACCGACACTGCATTTGGACATGCGTATTAGGTCCATTATACGAAGAAAATCAAATGGGGATGTAGCTCAGATGGTAGAGCGCTCGCTTAGCATGCGAGAGGCACCGGGATCGATACCCGGCATCTCCAAACCTTTTGTTTTGTCGTTTTTTTATTTTTTGCTTTTCAAAAGCAGAATGTTTGTACACTATAATGTTACTTGGCCAAAGGCAAAAAACGAAAAGAGACTTTTTTTTCCGATTTTACCATATTAGAAGGATTCCTCAAAAAAATAAAAAGAAAGGAAAAAGTAAAAAACAAACAAAATCTTTCTAATCCGTAAAGTTTTGGAACCCCGTTTCACCCTGGGATGCATTCCTTTCTTGTCAAACCATGAAATAATTTAGGGAAAAATTTTCAACGGACAAGGAGAAAATGTTAAAGTGCGCCCACAATGATCGCGGGTATCGCCAATTATGAGAAGAACAACGCTATGTTAGATGTAGCTAGCAAAGAAGGACAGCACAAACGCCAAAAGTCGTCAACCAAAGCTCTAAAGTAGGTGCCCTAAATTTATATGAGAGATTCTCCCCCTCTCGTGGGCTAGTTAGTCTTCCACCGCGCTGTGGGGAGAGCGAAATATAGGGTTCTTCGCGGCGCGTCTCGTCCGGGCTAGCGGGCGGCGCTGCTCCAGGTACTGGCATTTGGAATTTCTGCGCTTTACGAGTGAATCGGGAATCGCGAATCTAGCAGTTCGCATTGCCTTGCTGTGCTGCTTTTGGATTGTGGCTGGGTGATGATGGGAGTGTCTCCTGTGTGTGGGGAAAATATGCCGTGACCAGCATCAAAGGCGTGATTGAATTTGCCTGTGTGGAGCATCTGGAACAGTGAATTCGAGTATCAGGAGTTTCCTTTTCTGTGGCTTGGTCTCGCCCCTCTTTATGCTTTGTTCCAGCGACTGATGCCGTTGAATGGATTTCCCTATATATTTGATGCCAAGTCTTTGAGGAGCTCCAGCGAGGGTCACAAGTCTTCCTGGTGTTGTTGTTGTTGTCTGTCGTGAAAAATGGGACGATATCCATCGGGTCCAAAGAGCTGTGTGAGTGATCCTTCGTGTGATGTGCTCATCACGAAGGTCACGCATCCTGCCGTTGTGACGGTGTTTTGCTACTGGGGATTTGTCTTGCTCGTCTGCTGTTCTTTCCAGATCTTGAAGCTCTGGCTGATCCGAAAGAACCCAGTCAAGCCCGTGTTTCTACGGGAAGAAGCTCCAAAGTCTTCCAGGCCTGCCACAGGCAGCGAAGGTGCCTCAAGGTTTCAAGGCCAGGAGTTCCTGCTGGAGCCGGAGGAAGCAAAAGAGCTGCTTGTGACGGGCTACACTTGGTCCTACTTTGGCGAGTTTTGCTACTGCGTGTGCTGCCTGACGTCGTTGCACTGGCTGGCACTGTATGTCGTCATTTTGTTCGACACGTACAACAAGTGCGACATTGGTGGAATTGACAATCTCTGCTTCTTTGGCAACTATTTTATCTTTGGAACCTACGAGCTGAATGCCAAGGTGAGCAGTTTTGCTTTTGCTGCTCTTGGCTTTGGAGTAGGATCACATCTATGTCCTTGCTCTTGTCCAGGTCTTCTTCACTGTCTGGTGGCTATCGGTTGTGTGGTACACCACCTGGGTGCTGTTTAAAGGGAGGGTACACAACTGGTTTCGTCTTCCATGTCCGTTGTCTCAAGCGACTGTCGCTTTTGTTTGGGCCAGAGACCGGGAAGAAATCCTCTCAGCGAATGCGTTTGCTCTTGTCTACATCATTCGTCGCTTCAAGGTTCGGACCACAAGCTTGACATATGTTACAAACACAAACAGCTCTGCTTTTTGTTGTTGTTTTTCAGAATATAATTATGCCTCCAGATGCTCAGGGCCATTTTGAGATTGTCGATATCCTTGAGACTGCCTCAGGGAAACGTTATTTTCTCTTTGAAGGGCTTCGTGTTCTCGTGGATGGTTCGCAAATCTCCCATGCGCGCATCCAAGTAGGAGCACTGCTCTCAGATTTTCATCAGGTACGTCTTCCTACTCAATAAAAGTACATTCGCTAAAATCATACCACTTTCAGTCTCCAACTGGGCTTAGTGCCGAGGATTCTAGCAATCGTTTAGAGCATGTTGGTTTGAACAAAATCCCGTTCGAACCCGAGCCATTATTTCAGAGTATCTGCGACGAGCTCTTCACTTTTTTCCACGTCTACCAGCTCATCATGTACATATTGCAGTACTGGAACAGCTATCTCTTCGTTGCAGCACTTATGACCTGCATTGTGCTGCTAAGCTCCTCGATCACCATCTATACACGAAGGCGAAGCCAGTACACGATTGCTGAGGTTTATCTGAGAAGGCTACTTTCTTTTCGTTCTGCCATCAAAAGTAACAGTCCTGATGTTTACAGATCACGAAAATAAAAACGGACGCTGAGGTACTTCGGGGCGGGTCCTGGACTACCGTGGATGCTTCTCTTCTTGTCCCTGGAGATATGGTCAGAGTGAAAAGCAACTGGCTTTTACCCTGTGACTTCCTTATTCTTCAAGGTTCGTGTAACTCGGAAAATATCATTTTGTATTTATTTTTTGTGTAGGTTCATGTATTACCGATGAAAGCGCCTTAACAGGCGAAGCGATGCCTGTTCAAAAATATGCAGCTCCTAATGTTTCTCTTTCGTATCAGTCACAAGGGAATGGTGCTAGACATACACTTTTCTCTGGTACCACCGTGTTACAAGCAGGCAGTTCTGGTGAAGAAGTTCGAGCTATTGTTGCAGAGACAGGTAATCTGTTTCACTCTTATGTAAGAAACATCAACTTGAATACATCTATGTTGAATCAGGGATGAACACGTCAAAGGGGCAAATTTTATCGTCGATACTCTATCCTCAAAAGATGATTTTCAAGTACGACGAAGAGCTGCCTATTGTTGCCTTCTTTCTCGTTCTCTACGGTATAGTCTGTTTCGCCATTTCGATTGTCTTCCAGGTAAGAGTTTTTTTTTGTTGACACTAGCGTGGCGCTAACAAAATGGATTTTGTAGAACCACGCCGGTGCCCAAAGTTACTGGGTCACCAAATGGATTTATTGTATGGCCATTGTGAGTCAGATCATGTCCCCGCTGTTGCCCGTGGCTTTGGAAGTGGGACAACTTCATTCAGTGGATCGACTCAAGGCAAGTGCTGTGTTCATTAAACGCAGCCTCTTACATCTTTTGTTTTTCTAGAGTCGCGGCATCTTCTGCCTCAATCCCAAACGTATTGCTATCGCTGGGAAAATACGTGTGTTTTGTTTTGACAAAACTGGCACTTTAACCAAGGAGGGCCTCGACTTTGTTGGTGTCCATTGTGTTTCCAAGGTAGAAAACGAGAACTCGGTGTTTGAACCAGTCGTCTTACATGAGAAGCGAGATATTGAAAACACTACTGTGTTGCACGGACTGGCTACATGCCATGCGCTGTCCAAATTTGAAGGGATCTTCGTCGGAAATCAAGTTGAGGTACATGTTGTATTTTCTCTAATGAGCAGATGGATTGCAATATTGACGCAGGTGAATATGTTCAAATCTGTTGGCTGGGACTTCTATGAACTTGACGATCGATCAGTGGTCGTTCGCAGTGACGATGGAAAAGAGTTGAAGGTTGTCCGACGAAATGAATTCGATCATGCCCGAGCAACCATGAGCGTTATTGTTCAAGATGAAAGGGATGAGTTTCACATATACTGTAAGGTAATTTGACTGGCTTGTTATGGACCACTGACTAGTAACTATTGTAGGGATCCTTTGAGAGAATCCAAGAGCTTAGTAAAGCAGGTACTTTACCTTTGGACTACATAAGTACAGCTCAAGCTCATGCACTAGAGGGGTGCTACGTCTTAAGTCTCGGATACAGGTACCCTGAGTCTTTTTTTTTGGTCAGTTGTGGATGTTTCCTTTGCTCCAGGAAACTGAGCCCTTCAGTGTCTCCGAAGGATGTCCTGGCACTTTCCCGTGAAGAAGTTGAAAAAGAGCTGGATTTTATAGCTCTGGTTCTTTTCCGTAACGAGCTGAAACCTGGCAGCAAGGAAACTATCAGAGCCTTGAAAGAGGGCGAGGTGTGAGATATTCGTTTGGTATGCTTGTTTCACATTTCGTCAATGCCTGAGGTCTTTCTAACGTCGATGTTCCACGCCTGCTTTTAACTTTTTGTACTTGACCAGATCCGGCCTATCATGCTGACGGGGGACAATGCGCAATGCGGACACTATATAGCAAAGCAGTCAGGAATGGTGTCATCGCACGTTCAAGTCTTGGTGGGCGACGTTGTAAAAGAAAGGTAAGACTGTTTGTACTTTTAGCTTTTCAGATGTATCACGTCAACCTTCAGGCTAGTTTGGAGTCCTGTAAAAGCCGAATCTTCAACTCACAGGAGCTTCTCAGAAGTCCTTGCGAGGCCACTTTCCACTGAAGAGATTCTAGCACAGCACATTAAAGGACTCGAGGGAGGCATCATAGAGCTCGCCGTGACGGGAAAAGCATTCAATTTGCTCAGGACCTCTGAAGCAATGGACAGGCTTTTGTTACACACCCGTATTTTTGCGCGTTTCACACCGTCTGACAAGGTAAGAAAGTTAGTGTAAAGTTTCTTCGAGGTTTTTTTTTTCAACTTTTCTCTCGTCCAGGCGAGGGTTGCAACAATGCTCCGAGACAGAGGCTTGATTATCGGAATGTGTGGAGACGGTGGTAATGACTGTGGAGCATTACGGGCTGCTCATGCTGGTATCGCACTCAGCGAGGCTGAAGCTTCTGTTGTTTCTCCATTCACTTCCAAAGACAAATCAGTAAGTCTCTTCCTTTCACGGATATTGGAAGATTAGTCACTCGTTTCATATGATCGCAGATCGAATCAGTTGTTGACTTGTTACGAGAGGGGCGGGCTGCTTTGCATACATCGTTTGCATGCTACAAATTTCTAATTATCTACGGACTCATGTTTTCCATCCTAAAGCTGTGTGCTTATTGGTAAGAAAATAGACACTAAGGACGCATTTTTCACGAACTGTTCTTGTGCCTGTGCTTCTTTCAGGTATGGCATTATTCCATGCCAAATGGACTATTTCTTTATTGACGGTGTTGCGGTGTTAACACTCGGGTATGCAATGACTTTAAGCTATCCAGAAGCTAAGCTGGGGAAGGTTAGTCCCGCATGTCTGTAAGAACACTAATATGGTTGCGTAAACAGGATCGGCCAACTTCAAGCCTGCTGGGAGCTGAAAATGTCGCTTCCGTTTTGGGCATTTGGATTATAAACCTGTGTTTTCTCATCGCAGCAGTCGTGATGATGGCGAACGATCCCAATTATGTCAAATGGCCTGCTTCGTAAGTGGATGGATCTCTCCCGTTAAAGAATTCATGTTTTTCATTTGCCTTTCTAGATTTTCTCACGAGGCAAGCTGGTGGACACTAAGTGATAACTGGGAGTCGACTGTGCTCTTCTTCACGATGTACTTCCAGTTTATAACTTCCGCATTTGTCTTCACATTCGGGTCGGGCTTTCGGAAGAATGTTTTCAACAACCATTTGCTGATTGTAAGTATCTCCATCGAAACTCAGGAACTCCTTTTTTTGTTGACTCTCACATCTCTATTCTCGACGCAGGGATCTTATGCAGGGCTCGTCATTCTGTTTTCCTTCCTCTTGCTTCTTCCACACAGCTCTCTCACCAGCTTGTGGCACGTAGCCAGCGAGCAATTCAACAGACTTGGCACAGACTCTCCAGTTTGGATCTTATATCAGGTCTGTCTCAAAAAAAGTCTTCATTCCATGTTAAGTTTTTGTTTTTTTTTGTTTCTCCTCTAGAAAGCTGGAGGAAATCCGTCACCAGCAATGCCACTGCGCTTTCGACGGAACTTATGGCTAATTATCATCGCAAGCATGATTGGGAATTGTTTGTGGCAAAAGGTTCGTTGCTCAGTGTTATTTTCTTCACGTACTAAAGTTCTCCCTGCAGCTTTGTGTTGACGGCTTCATAGCAAAGACTATAGCAAAAAACCATCCCTCAAAACGGCCCACTTTCCATCTGTGACGGTGAATGTTCTCTTCTCTTTAGCAAAGTTGTTTCCATACTTACTAATAAAACTTTCAATCTCACAGGAACCAACTATGATTTTCAATTGATCTTACGCGTATACACAGCTTAACAATCTTATCTACGCAATGCCATGGTATGAGATAGCTTTTTAAAGACTATTAAGCCTTTGTGTTCTTCGGCTATGGTGGCCAATACCTTGGCTATCGATAGCTGATCAACACAGCGGCGTCCTCTTCTTCATCAGCCGATTAAACATGACAACGCTTCCCATCTTCCCATTCGCGGCATACGTATGACCCAGTAGAAAATACGGGCTGGCATCCTCTTCGTCGATATCAATCGCGGCATCCGCAGCGTGGTCTCCGACCCGCTCGTCGCCAATGCTCCGGCAAGCGCAGAGAAGAATCCTCCAGCAAACCACGTTTGGATGGAACGGCATCGCGAAAATGAGCTCCACCGCCTCGTCCAGCTTCGCAGCTCGTCCGAGGAGATCGATCATGCAGACGTAGTGATTGATGGTTGGAGCGAGACCATAGTCGCCGATCATCGAGACGAAGAGCTCCCATCCAGTTTGGATCACTCCGGAGTGGCTGCTGGACGAGAGCACGCTGATAAACGAGATGTGATCCGGAAGAACACCGTGAAGGACCATGGCGTGGAAGAGCTCGCGGGAGGAAGCGGTATGGCCGTTGTGCGAGTAGACGACCATGATCGTGTTCCAGATGACGATGTCTTTGCTGGGAAGACGATCAAAGACGTTCCTCGCGGCCGCGACGCTCCCACACTTTCCATACATGTTGATGAGCGCGGCGGAGACGAAGGGATGGAACTCGAGGTGGGCGATGATCGCGTGGATCATCCGGCAGTGCGATCGATCCGAGTGAGATCCAAATGCCTCCAGCGCTGCGACGAAGGTGGTGCTGCTGGAAGGGATTCCTTCCAGATCCATGGCGCGGAAGAGCTGGATTGCGGGTAGAGGGCATCGGTTCTGGGCCAAGGCCGAGATCATCACCGAGCACGAGAAGGAGTCGTGATCCTGGAGAGCGATTTCATCGAACACTTGCTTGGCTCGGTGGGCATCGCCGCTGTCGCCCAGCGCCGCCACGATCGCCGTGCACGAGATCACGTCCTTCCCTGGCAAGATCGCCCAGAGATCCATCGCTTGATCCAGATGCCCGTTATGGGCAAATGCTGAGATAGCTCCAGACCACGAAATGGAATTCCAGCTGGGCATCTTCTCGAAGAACTTGCCAGCAGAAAACGCTTTTCCCCCCTCGTCACAAGCCGAGATCATTGCGTTCCAGGAAACCACATTGCGCTCTTCAATGAGATCGAACACCTTCTTTGCCGGATCAAATTCCCCAGTCTGGGCAAATGCTGCGATCATCGCGTTTCCGGACACTACATCCCACTGCGGCATCCGGCGATAGAAGTCCTCCGCCATCCGCCAAGATCCCTGCTGCTGCGAGCAAAACCCTATCATCGAATTCCAAGACACCACATTCCTGGACGCGCGCAAGAACAAGAGCTTTGCCTGGCACAAATCCCCCTTTTGGGCATATGCCGCGATGATGATGTTCCACGAGTAGATGTTCTTGTGGCGGATCTTGTCAAAGACCAGTCGCGCGTCGGGCAATCGATCGCAGCTGCCATACATGTGAACGAGGAGATTGCCGAGGAAGGTCTGGCGATCGTGGCGGTGCTTGGCGAGGAGGAGATGGAGGCGGCGTCCCTCGAGGAGGGATTTTGAGGCGCTACACTTGCGCAGTGCCACGGCGAAGGCCTGGATGTCGATGGCGACGCTCTCGTAGAGGGATTTCTTCCTCGTCTCGGCATTTTGGCACTCATTCATGGACTAGGTAGCATCGCTCTCGAAATATTTCCAAGCTAGGGTTCTAGCGAGCTTGTGGCGTGGATCTTGGCGCTTAGAGCTCTAGATCTCGCGATCCGGGCCATGGCGACGTCGGCATTCCTCGAGGAGCTCAAGGTGAGAAGAAGTGTGAAATGCTCGATCTGTGTGAATGGTGATTGCTTGCGCGCGCAGGCAGCGGATCCATTCTTCGTCATGGCCGGCCCCAACGTGGTGGAATCGGAGGAGCACATCCTCAAGATGGCGCGGCACATCAAATCCGTGACCGACGAGTGAGTAGCTCCTCCATTTCCTTCCTTTCTCATCGATTTCTTCACAGGCTCCAGCTCAAGCTCGTGTTTAAGTCGAGCTTTGACAAAGCCAATCGAACCTCCGCGCACTCTTTCCGGGGTCCGGGACTGGAAGAAGGACTGAGAGTGAGTAGAATGGAATTTCCATTGCCATTGCCGATAGATCTATCTCTTCGCTGTTCTTTCCATCCAGATTTTGGAGAGAGTGAAGGTTGAGTATGGTCTTCCGATTGTCACGGACGTCCACGAGCCTTATCAGGTGAGTGAGAAGCGTTTCTTCTTCTTTGTTCTCTGCTCTCCAGGCTAATCGTTTCCTCGCTCAAGGATAGTGTGAGGCAGTGGCACGAGTAGCCGATGTTATACAAATTCCAGCGTTTCTTTGCCGACAGGTACTTCATATTTTCCCTTCGTTTTCTCTAGTTTTTTCTTGCGAGAAACTCTTGGCAGACGGATCTTCTTCTCGCAGCTGCTAAGACCGGCAAAGTGATCAACATAAAAAAAGGCCAGTTTTGCGCTTCCTCCGTAAGAAGCCTTTCTTATCACCTTGTTTCTCATGTGTTCTTTCTTACGCGTTTGCGTTTGTTTGTCTCTAGGTGATGACCAATTCAGCCGCTAAGATCAGGCTTGCTGGAAATCCAAACGTCATGGTCTGTGAGCGCGGCACCATGTTTGGCTACAGTAAGTATTTTTTGGATTCCAAATTCTCCTGCTGAGTGGTGTGGCTGGATTTTCGTGTAGACGACTTGATAGTCGATCCGAGGAACTTGGAATGGCTGAGAGAAGCCGAGTGCCCTGTGGTATGTATTTCTTCTAGAGTTTGTTCGGTTTACTCTTTAAACTTCCTTTCCAGGTCGCCGATATCACGCATTCTTTGCAGCAGCCTGCTGGACGAAAAGTAAGAAACAACTTCTACATCACTCGAACTTCGAGCAACAATTTGGTGTTTTTTTGCTTGTGCTTGACAGACTGAGCATGGCGGTGTTGCTAGCGGCGGATTGAGAGAGCTGATTCCCTGCATCGCTAGAACTTGCGTGGCAGTCGGTATCGATGGGATCTTCATGGAGGTTAGTAACAATGTAAGTTTTCTAAAGTTACTAGATGTTCTTGCGAACATGCCAGGTCCATGATAATCCTCTCAAGGCACCAGTTGATGCTCCAACACAATGGGTATAATCCTCTCACCTTTTGTTCTTCATCTAAAGGTACTCTATTGTTGCAGCCATTGAGGCACCTCAAAGTTTTGCTCGAGGAGCTAATTTCCATCGCAGTTAAGTGCTCTTGGATTTCAAAAGAAAAAACTAACACATCTGATTTGGTGTAGAGAGTGAGCAAAGGCAAACAGCCATTTCCGATTGATCTTGAGCCAGTGAGAGATGATTTTTCATAACACCAATCTTCTACCAAGTGAAAGCTAAGTTCATTCATCAATTATTTCCCCCGAGTTCCATCCCTTGTCTCTGCCGCACTCATCAACATGGAAAGTGTGCAGCCGCGAGGGTCGTCTGTGATCATCTCCCAGTTATCTAGAACACGGTGACAGTACTCACACAACTCTTCCTCCCTCGAGGCTCTTCCATGCGATAGTTCTTCACGATGCTCTTCCGGATCATACCCCTTCTATCTATCAGTGTCCTCTCGGCTCTAGTTCTTCACGATGCTCTTCAGGATCACACCCCTTCTATATCTATCGGCGTCCTCTCGGCTCGCTCCAACCATCGATTACTTCATCGATCATGTCGCCCTCGCCATTGATATCTATGCGGAACATGGCAGCGTTGCCGTGTTTAACAACAGTGTCACATGATTAGTATATTGTTACTTGTGAAAGTAGTTTCATCTGATGATATTAATGATGATAATACGCAAGTGTTTTACAAGTGGCCGCTTAAAACACAAAGCATTTAGACACACGGAAAAAGCTTACAATCTTGCACGTGGCGGGTCACTATGTTCATGGTCGCAAATAAATATGAAAACCCAAGGCCTATTACACCATGCATTAATTTATCATGAACTCAATAATGATATTTTTCTTATCTTCCTGTTTACTTATTTGCTTACATGCAAAACTTGAGCATGTTGAGCACCCAAATGTGCTCCCAGAAGGTTATCCACGAGATGTTGTTTTATCTACACTTGATCAGGTGTTTGATACCATTAACTCTGAGTTAAGTTATCCTTATGGCCGTGCATATGCACTTTTTAATGTAATTGGATCATATCGACTTTTATTGGCTGCATGGTTGCTCAATCCTGTAAATGATGAAGGTTATTGTAGTGGTCAGTATGATGTTTCTAATGGATTATCAGGAGAAGATGTTAAAACTGGTTTGTTTCCCATTTATCATGTCTTAAAAGATAAGACACAATGGGGTGGTTATGACGCTATGGTAATTATCAATGCAAATTTTATGCTTCTTTATTATCTTGAATATGGATCAAAGATTCCTACGGTCACAAATATGAACACATCATATATTAAAAATATAACAGGCTTGCAACATGGAAAGGCTAATATCTCCATTTTAGATTTCCAAGATTGTTCAGTTGACAGCTCAAGTATGGTTAGTGGTGAAGATTATTTTGGGTTTGCAAAAATGTTCCCTGGCTCTAAAAAACTTTCAGCTAATAGAAGATTTGAATTTGCTCTATTACACAATTGTGAACTTATTTTAGTGGATCTTTTAAATCATAATCAATATTGGACAAGTAACACAGGCCACTATGGGCAATATGGTTGCATTTTTCGCCTTCAAACAGATGGTAATTTAGTATTGTATCAAACAAATGAAATACCATTATTTACTATTAATAAATATTGTACACCTCAACCTTGTGAAGAACCTTCTGTGTTAGCTCTTCAAGATGATGGAGACCTTGTATTATATCGCAGTTTATCAGGTGAGCGAGTTTTAGCATTAAATAAGATGTTTTAAATTTATGATATAAGTGAAATTTACTTAGAGTTTATTCCTAAGCTAATTCCAGTTAAAGCATAAACTTGGGACAAAAGAATGTAACCAGCAGAAGAAACCTTTGGAGCATAGTTGATGACAAGTCCAGCAGCTCGATTTGCTCGACCAATGTCAATCTGTGTCTTGCAAGCCCCCAAAAGAGTCATCCACTGGACATTGTTCTCTCGATTTGGCAGGCTTTGGATCAAGTCCTCGGCCTCGTCCAGCCTTCCATTTCGTGCCAAAACATCTATCAAGCAGAAATAGTGCTCTGCTATTGGCAAAAGTTGGTAGTCGTCCACCATAGCCAGAAAGAACAGGAAGCTCTCGCTCAGCTTTCCTGCATGGCTGCATGCAAGAAAAACGGTGAGGAAACAAATCTCATCAGGTTCTAAGCCTTCGACGTCCATTTGTTTGAAGAGATTCATGGCATTATCTGCTCGGCCGTGCTGGGCAAATCCAGCGCTGAGAACTGTCCAGGAGATAAGGTTCTTTTCCGGAACATCATCAAAGGCTTTCCTCGCCAGATCGAGATTTCCATTTTGCGAGAACACGGCTATCATGGTGTTGAAGGAAACCATCGTTCTTCCTGGCATTCCGTGGAAAAGTTTTTCAGCTTCATCGCTCGAGCATTTAGTATCCCTTGCACAGGCTGCTAAGAGTGAGTTCCAAGAGATGGCGTTTCTCCTGGGCATCGAATGGAAAATTTTCGTGGCTTCCTCGAGCTCGCCGTTGGAAGCGTAGCCTGTGATCATCGAGTTCCACGATGAGATTGTCTTCTCGACCATGGATTCAAACGTGGTCTCGGCTTGCTCCAGATTCCCCCGCCTGTGAAGAGCAGTCACAAGAGAATTCCAACTCACCACATTTTTCTCGGGCATGGATTGAAAGATCTCGTCCGCGTCTTTGATTTCCCCATGAACGGCAAAACCACTCGCAAGGGCCGTCCAAGAGACAACATCCCATTGTGGCATTCTCTTGAAAAAAATCTTTGATTGAAGCAAATCCCCGTTCCGCGCATATAGAGAAATCAATGAGTTATATGACACAATAGATTTAAAAGGCATTTGATCAAACATTGACTTCACTTCTAGGAATCTTCTTTTGTGACCCAAACCCTCTATAATAACGTTCCAAGATGCCGAGTCTCTATACAACATTCCCTCAAAAATACCCCTTGCCATATCAATATGCCCAAAGTGGGCATATGCTACAAGCATAGCGTTGGAAAACATGACGTCATAGCTTGGAACCTTGAGATAGATATACTCAGCGGATTCGAGATAACCTCGTAAAGAATAGGCGCGGAAAAGAGCCGTCCATGCGATAAGATCTCGCTGTGGCATACTGTCAAACAGGTTCTTACACAAATCAAAATACCCAGTTTGGGCATATGCAACTGCGACGGTGTTCAGAACCACAAGATCTCTTTGTGGCATTTTCTCGAGCAGAAATTTGCATTCCAGAATTGATCCGTTCTGCGCAAGCGCAGTGATCAAAAGGCTCCAGGAGAAGAGATTTCGATGTTGGATGCATTGGAAGACAAACAGCGCAGAAGTGGGATCCGCGCACTTGCCATACATTTGGATCAAGAGATTGCCCAAGTAGCGATCGTGAGGCAATTGGCGGGTGATTTGGTTGTGGAGACGCTTGCCTTCTGAAATGTCTCGGCAGGATTTTAGCAACTGAACAATAGCATTAAAGGTATTCATTCATTAGCTGTTTACAATGTCTTGTGGTGGCCACTAAGACAATAAGATGTCATGAGCCGTTCCTTCGCTGAACTCCTCTAGGTCTTCTGGCACCAAGCCTTCTGTCCCCTGATCTGCCTGCCACCCCTTCTGTGGCATCTTGGGTTGGAACCTCAATGTAATCCTCATTTAGCTATGGTGAGAAGTATTGTCACCCTTGTTTTGCATCTGACTCAGCTGCAGTGTAATCATGAGCATGGCATCTATGACTAAGGATTGCCACTTGATCTCCATTTCTGGTAGAAATTCTTTGGCTCAATGTTCACCTGTGAAGATTACATGTAGAACTGAATATTCTTTAATCAAGTTAATATGTTATTTTTTAATTTAGTAGGTGTTAATTGGGTGTTTACACATGCAAATATATTCAATTGCATTTTAATTGCTATTATACAAATCAAAATGTGTTTGTGTGCATTATAATATTTGCATAGGACATACCATATGCAAGGGGTATGCCACTTGCAATGACGTGTACAGCTCTATCATCTCCTCTTTTTTGACAGCAAGATTGTAAGCTCCAATTTATTTGATGTACCATACTATGCTACAATCTCATCTAGCACTTGCTGCTACTGTAAAATTTTACTCCCCTAGATCAAACCTTCATCCTTTGCAAAGAGCTTGAGTGCTATGCTGTAATATATATGGTATTCACAAATTTTTCTTGTTCTGAAGTAGAGACCAACTAGACTCTAGATTGATCCCCAGGTGCATGTAATTACATAAGATCACAAGTGTGTGCTCAGTGCATCAGAAACCCTAATCAAGTGCTCCAACACAGTGATGACATTGCTAGATTGGCAAAGCTGGTGATGGACGATAGCCAATGTGTGGAAGCTCATGGCCAACACTCTTTTGGCAGTGAATGTCTATGATGCATGATTTAGGTACACTTTCAATCCAATTGAATCTCACCACACATTTTTGCCATTCTTGCTAAACTTAAAAAGATGAAAAAGAAGATGTTGACATAGTAAATAACTTTGACATGGAATAAGAATTCATACATGGGCATGCATGCCAATATGTATATATGCATTTGATCTGTACTCTCAAGCTTTTCACCATCCATCACATAGGGAGCTTTGTGATAGTGAGAGACACACACACACAGATATATATATATATATATATAAATAAATAAAAACAATTGTGTTTCTTGGGCCCAAGTAGAAGTGCAATCTTTTTTAAATTTATATATCTTGCAAGTTAATACATTTTTTTGTCAGACTGCCCACACTAAATACACCTCCCCTTTTTGGAGTCCCAAAACTTATCATAAATTGCTTGCCAGGTGTGGCTAATCAGCATGATAAGTTTTTAAATTTTTCCAAATCAAAAACTATTTATATATTTTTATTTAGACTATAATTTAGTATTATATTATTGTAAATAAAAGATACTGCTAATCATAGTAAATATTGTGTTTTAAATATGAAAATGGATGGAAATATAGTGTTATACTCAAAAAATGAAAATTTCCAAAATATTATTGTACTCCAAAACCAAATTGATATGTAAACACATCTCTTAATCTTTAAAATACTTGCAAGCTTTATATAGCATCAAATAAAGTTTTATCTAAACATCCTAGGATACTATGAAGAAAAATCCTATTTTCATTAAATTGATATGGTAATGAATATTTGATTACATATGGTGCATCTTATATTTACACATATGCAGATACAATTAGGGGCCTACCACATGCATAAACACTTCATGCCAAGTGAAGCTTGCAAATGCATGCCCAATGCGTCATAAGCCCTTACCAAATTGGCACAGCTGGCAACAGACAACAGCTAGTGTGTGGAGGCTCATGTCTAGGAGTCTTTTGGTCAGTAGTATTTATAATATATTGTTTAGCTACACTTCTATTCTGGTTATATTTTGCTATGCATTATTGCTATTTTTGTTAAACTTAAAAGATGAAGAAAAAGATATTGATATAGTAAATAAACTGATGAGAATTAATAATTCATATATTGGTATGTATGACCATACAGACCAATATATATGTGCTTTGAAAAAAAAGATGCATCCAAAATATTATTTTATTGAGTCATATATATGAATTCAAGGATTAAATTCATATATCTTGTAGGCTAATACATTCTTTTGCTAAGCCACCTATCCCAAGTACACCTTTTTAACCCCCAAAGATTGCAATCACAATTTGTTTGCCATTAGCAAGAATATGGAAGAGCATAAAATGCATTTGCATAAGGTTTTCTTAGTACTATGTAATAACAAAATTTTATGTGAAAAAGAGTAAATGTGAATTTGCATAAGTACAATGAAATTAAAGGTGCAGCTATTTTAATATGTCAAATCAATATTTGCACTGAAGAAGTTTTTTAACTTCTCTAAATTGAAAATCACATTTATATTTACATTTAGACTGTAATTTAATATTATATGTTTTATAATTCTAAAAGATACTCTATAAGAACTGCTAATCATGGTAAAGATTGTGGAACACATTGGCAAGAAATAATATGTTATGGTTTTCCATGTACTTTTATGTACGTTATGCATTTAGACGGAAATAACATTATATTATCATCCAAAATCTAGCAAGTCCCGTACAAACATGTATCTAAAGCTTGAGTTATAAGGCAGCCATTCAAACGCCAAATGCTTGACACAAGCCTTGAGACTGAGAGAGTGTTGCTCGGGGAGATTGTGACACAGCCACTGCAGCAGTCCCCTGCTGCTAACGCCAATCTCGCTCAGAAAGTCGTGGAGGATTCTCGGCAGGAGTAGTGTATTCTTGGCTCCAACACCAACACTTGCTTGTAAAAACTCCAACTTCGCAATCTGGAGCTGGGCTCTGACATGGATTGCTGTGTAAACTCGCAACTGTGTAAAACAAAAAGAACAATATTAGCGATTTAACAATAACAATAATAAACATTGACATAACATGTAACAACAATTATAAACAATTGACCTTACCGATGGATCAGAACGAGCTCCGGAGCAAAGTGCAAAACATACGAGGGGCTCCGGATGTGGAAGGCTGTACGTAAACGTACGTTTGATCCTCGGTTTGGGCCGCGCTAGGGGAGATATCAAAGCTTGCAGCCACTGCATGATCATCACACAAAGATTGGATCGAGTGGAGAGTTTCATTTGATTAAATGGATAGACCTCTCGAGAGTTTTGAGAATCTGATCGCCAAGCGAGAACAAACTGTGCTATAGTGTAGGCAGTCACAGAAACACTGCCAACCTTATAGGCTGCCTGCACTAAAGATCAAAGTATTCCATCACTAACCATATGTGAAGAACTCTCATCATGTTTCACAGACCTTGTGTAGAAGTGATTCTCGCTTAGATTTGCTGGTTGGGATTCCATAAGCCAAATGTGCCTGAGAGGAAGTTCCACATTCATACAAATATAACACCATAGACACTCAATCTTACATGCATCACAAGCGCATTATAGATGTTGATCCAAAACGCTAGCTTTTCGTTGCAATCCATGGATGCTACATCCACCTTGGAGAGCTGTTTGACCATCGTCCTAGAATTCCACATAAGCATATAAAAGAAACAGCTGAGAATTTGATAGCTTACTTGAATTCTTGAAGAGGCTGTGCTACGTAGCCGAGCTGCTGCTTGTCGATCGAGATCCAAGGAACCTCCACGACAAACCTGTACGCTCCACAGTCTCCCAGCTGCTTGGAGAGCTGGAATGGATTGCTCAAGAGGCCTCCAAGGTTCCGGGGGCTGGACGAACTCGACCAGGAGGAAAAGAGTGGAGATGGCGAGCTTTGAGGCACATCTGCGAGCTTGCCAAAGATCCCAGCCATGCCACGAACGAGCGCTGCCGACAGCTCGCTGGGGCTTCCAACAAAACCACTGGAAAACCTCTCCAGCGTCAAGCTCGGGGGGGTTTCTGGCATCTCAGAGAGTTTCTACAGCAAAAAACGTTTAGAACTTACTTAAGTATCATACAAAATCCAAAGAGACAAACAAAATAATCATACCTTTCGGGCCCTTGGCTGGATTGCTCCGAGTAGATGATGCAACGGAGATGCCTAGACGAAGAACAAGACAAGAGAAGAGTTAGAAGAAACAAAAACACATTTTATTGTTACCTTGCTACTGACTGGAGAACTCGATGATAAGAGCGAGCTCGACAATCTGTCCCTGAAACTCGACTTGAAGATTGGATCTTGAGACAAGGGAGATTTTCGCGAGTGGTGGTGGTGATCATCCTGCTGTTTCTTACGAACTAAGAATTTGATCACCTTGCTCGGGGTGTCTGGGTTTCCCGGAAGATGATCGGTGGCTT